TGTAACACCTATGATGATGTGTGTTTTGATGATTCATGATAGCACTCATCCTGGTTAAAATGCACAAAATCATAAATACCCATAATTTCAAAACTGAATGACACCAAAAATTTGTAAATCACTTTCAACATTGAAAGGCAATGATGCAATATGCCATAAAATTTCATATTCACAATACTAGTTGAACCACTGCCTCCCAGTGCCATCTAAATCTCTGGTTTTTACCTGCTAAAAAGTGAGTGAACAGCTCTGAACAGTTCGCTCTTGCACTGGATATTAATAGTATTCACTATCTTTTCACAGCTATTTTTCCTACCTTAATTCCAACACCTTACTCTATGGTAAAATAATCAAAACATATTTAGCAATCTTTCCTATATGGGGAAAACTAAAAATTGAAAAACCAAGGCCAACATTGTCTATCTTAGTTTCTAAAATTAGACATTTATTTCCATATTTAGAATAACTGGTTAGCTGAGAAACTTAACTTCCAGCTTCCAATTTAAGAATAAGCATCAGCTCAGTGACTCTGAAAATCGGACACTTCTTTAGCTGATTAAATACAGACTTCAGCCTCTTTTAAGACAATGCAATGGAACAACTTTTAAAAGCACATGAATTAAGGATGAAAAATTGAACAAAACAAAAAAAAAACAGAATAAGAAGTGAAGTAACAAATGAATCCTAGATTATGATCCTGACTTTGAATCTCAGACCCATGCCACAACACAGAAGGCAGTAAAGCTTCCATTAACCATGCAAACCACTCTGTACACCACGGATCTGCAAAAGCAAATTCATGTACACTGCAGTAAGTATAATGGTATGGGTAAACGAGTGAACAAAGCATGCATGAGTTAAGCACCTTGACACTATACTGCCACTGTCAGCTGATGAGGAGGACATATCCATGCTCTGCATTTTACGAAGCCTAGGTCGAGCGCGCTCACTTGTTTTAGGAACAGTGTCTGGTCCATCTAAATCATCAAGGGTTGACTGCCTTGAGAACAGCATGGTTGCTTCAGTGTAGCAGCTAGCAGCGCAAACAGTTATAAAGACAGTGTTAAATACAAATGGTATTACACATGGTTCAGTAAACAAATATGCTCGCCATGCAGCAAAACACTGACAGAGAGAGAAAAGGTTCAGAGAGAAGATAAGGATTTGTTTAGAGTCACCACAAAAACACATTTCTATGCTCAGTTTGCTCATTGTCAAATTCATATAGGAGCTACAGAAGGGTAACCAGCATCTATTCATATTCAAAAGATATGAAAGCAACACAGTGCTCTACATGCTTTCCAGGGCACAGACTTACATATGTGTTTGCTCCTGAAATTTCCAAATTCCACAAGAATGTTTAGGGAAATGACCTCCTCTGTACATATTCTATTTTATTCATGATATACTGTGCTGAACCTTTTTGCACAGGTACAAGCCAATTTCCTAAAAGAGCCCCTAAAACTGAATAAGCTCATATTCCACAAATAGCAAAATAGCTGTCAGACATTGGCTAATCCTCTTTCCGAACCAAAGAGCCAAATCGGATATGTTACTTAGCCAGTATATGCATGCCAAATACAACCAGTTCTGCATGGGATGGCTTTTATTTTGGTATTTACTAGGAAGCCCTGGTGATTCTTTCCAGAAGATTTAATTTATTTCAATCACAGCCTAAAGTATTTAAAAATTGGTAACATGCGCATCTTGAGATAAAGAACGGATATAAATAACACTTATAAGTAAACCCTTATCTCCTTTCACTTATCAAATACAACAGGACACCAGAGACATACACCATACATTGAGCATTTATGTGTTACTGGAGAAAAGAAGAACTAGATGAGTTATGAGCAAGAAAATACATAATTAAATACAAGCATCTAACATAGCAACAGGAAAGAAGCAAATACCTTAATGACATATGGTAGGTAAGAGGATTATTTCTCCTGTAAAAATCTCTGAAAAACACAGATGTCTATGAAATGAGTTGAGTGACCTGGTGTTTTAATACCTGTAGTGACCTGCCTGACTCTCTCAAATAGAATGAGAGAAGAAGGAATCACAAAATGCAGGATTTACACTCTACTTTTCTTCCTTTGAGTCCATCTGTGTTACACTTGAGCAGCAGCAGCAGCAGCATGGAATTTGCTTCTTTGGCAAGGATTATGTTTGTCCAGGGACACAGAGAATTGGGAAAGAGGTCAGAAAGGAAGTGCAATGATGTTTTCCGTGTTACTTTGGTTTTGCTAGCTTGAAGTGAAGTAAAAACATCTCCTGGCCTGAAGTGACAGTTTGCAATTATTGCCTTAAGGAAAATGGGGAGGAAACAGCAAAATATGTGGAACAAAGAAGCAGCTATTCTTAGGCCTTCTCTCACTGATGAGATTTTTTGACAGAATGGGTTGAGGCTAAAAGCATACCTTGGTCTTCGAACAGGAGAGAAGAACCACCAAGATACCAAAAGTACTGTGCAATATTTTCCTTAAGAACAGTCTTAATGGCAGGGGCACCTCTGTCCTGCCAGTTCACTTGGACAAGACCCTTTACGGGCCACTTCATTATTTCTGTGTGCACCTGTGTCTGTCTCCAGATAAAACCTGGAGGGGTGTCTGCATGGTGCGTGGTTTTGATGAAGCAGAAAATGCTGCTTCCTATGGGAACAGGAGATCTGCCCTAGGGGCCTGTTTCAGCAGCATGGGAATCAGCTGAAGCTGTGTTACTAACTCAGGAGGGTCTTGAGGGAAGAGGTTTCTCTCTGCACACACACCTACGACGCAAAACCAGTCTGTTGCTCTATTAGTGAGGTTTTGCTGCTAAAATATGGGGAGATGGCAGCAAGTAGACAACATAGTTTTGCATATTACCTTTCTATCTATGTGCTACAATGCTATCCATATGTTGTTTTAGATCTCAAGGGCTGAGTTTATTCTTTTCAAAGGAAACACCTATTACTAAGGTGTTGAAGTATTTTAAATGCAGACATAGTTCAAAGGGAACTTTGTATCCTCCAGTGTCAGGATATGTGTATGAGACAACACCTGCAGCACAGTCTGTATATTCCTTATTCACTTTAGGGACATGCTTCTGAACATGTTGGAACTGAGAACACCAATAAAGTGGAGAGATTTACACTGGTCAAAGCTGGTGTTGACTCAAGCCATTGACTGTCATATAATTTTGATTCAAGTCTATCTCCCTGAATGACTTTTCAGTTTTGTGTTGTTGGAGACCTTGAAAAGCATTAGCTTCTTGAAATCACTCAAGGACTAGGTATTTTAAATTGAATGTTCATTAAAAGCCCTGAGTTCAAGCATTTCATATAAAGTTGATCAGGCACCCAGTTCAAATGGGGATATATATAGTGCAGAGATGTTTTTATCCTCAGTGAGTGGGAAATTTCTAAGTTTACGACTTCCTTTTTGCTGAGCAAATTTACCCTTCCTGAAGAATTTATTAGCTTAAGGGTTGACTTACAAATTTTTCTGTGGTTTGTTTTTTTTCTTTTTCTGTCCATGGGCTAGTTACTGAACGGCATTATCTGTTTGAACTACTACATTCCCCACACCTGCAAGTAAAAATCCCAAACAATTCCTAACATTCACAGTCCTAAACTGGACTTTGATGCAGCCCAGGTGGAGATTCTCCCTTCATCATTTCTGCTGCCTCACTAGGCAAAAGTTGTTTCTCCAGTACTCCCTGTCTCAAGCTTTATTGTCCCATCTGGAGAGGGAAGCACACATAGAAAGTGGTTTTTACACACACCCTGACTACACTTGTGTACTTATTCTTACAGGAGGGTCAGAGGCTCTAACCTGCAGCTCCTATAAAAGTCTGCACAAAGGTAGAGTTGAGAACTGAAAATGTTATTTGTGATGGAAAAAAACGAAAACAAACTGAACTGAATACAAAACCTTGGATATTGCAAAATCTAACTTAGGACCTGTGTACAGCTGCTGCTATATAACAATAGGCAAAGTCCCACATGGACAGCCAACTAGTTTTAGTAAGTTCCCAATCACCTTACAGAAATTCGTAAGCTGTTTAACCTAATAAGCAGTTCATCAGTCAAATGGAAAAAAACTGCAGCAAATGCTCTACCATGGTACATCCCAATCCCTTCAGGTGGTATTCCTCAAATAGCCTGGTAAGGGTCAACTTCAGTCTCTTCTTCTGGCCCATATGAACTTTGCCTTTAGGATACATAAAGAGAAACCAATCAAATTCACTTTGTGAATACCTCATTTTACCTCTAGCTACTGTGTGGAAAAATGAGAATAAATGACAGCTCTACTAAAAGAGAAAACCCCACAAAGGATACTATACAAAAGTCCTTTTAGAACTTTATTTTAGGTTAAGAACAATATCCCTGGTAGACTTACAACGGTCAGCTCTTGAACTTCACAAGAAATTTACAGTTCCTGCAACTGATCAGGAGGGCTCTCTCTAGATATGCAGTGTTTGGGGCACTGAGCAGATACCTACAGTAATTCCTGTCCTGAGTAGTAAGGATTATGTTTTATTATAATAGAATAACTTCAGTGCTTTAGCATTCCTGTGAACTTCTGGATATGTTCACCTTACTCATGGACCTAATGTTCATCACAGAATTTTGCGTAGTACAACCAAAGGATAACTGGAACAGAAACCCTCTTCCCCTTCCTAAAAGTTTTCAAATACAACCTAAGATCCCTGATCACAGGAATTCTTTAGATTTAATTAGTCACTTCTACATTTACTGGAAATTGTTACTTTGAAATATAACATGCTATCTTTTCTTGTTTGCATAATTAAAAATATTACTCAATAAACTCATATGAAGTTTGAAACATTTCACATTTCTAAAAAAGATCATAAGCACTTCTGTAATCCCTGAAAGAGATATGCAAGGGTGCCACAATGAACAGATGGCATTATCATGGAATCAACAGACTCATTATTGCTTCCTCTACTATTATAGCAGACGTTCATAATTTGTAAATACTCAGTGCAAGAATATTTAATTGTTCATTACCAGAAAGAGAATTTGAGATTAGAGAAATCAGTTCTAATGCTGCCTTTGCTATTCCTTTGCTGATAAATCCTGTGACTTCTTCTAAGGAAATGGAGATGACAGAAACACATGTTAAAAATTTAACTTTTTCTGTTGCAAAGCAGAACCACAGAATCACTGAATTCTCTGAGTTTGAAAAGAGATCTTAAATGTGTAAAAGTGTGCTCAAAGTGGGGTGAAAAATGGGTGGTTATTCTGAAAAAAAAAGGTATAAGTAGAGCTCAACACTGGATACAATGTCATTGAAGACGTAGAATCTTTATATGAATATGACAAGATTTGCCTTTCTTTTTTATAATTAATTTTGGAATTGGCTTTCTTTGTTTAAAGTTCCTGATAAACACTGTATAATAATGTTTGTATAATAATGATAACTTTTTCTATCTACAGTAAACAGTGTGACCAAAAACTATATAATGAAAGCAGGACTGATATTACTATTCATTCTTTAGGTGAGACTGAACTTCGTGGAGTTATAATCTGCCCTTCAAATATCCAAGTGGTTCCAAGAAAACTGGTTAATAGAATTTGATTTTTTACTTTTTCTCACATCATTTGACTTCTGTAAAACTTTGACACAAAACACAAAGTTTGCTTAGTTGGGTAACTAGCCACCGAGAAAGATTTGCTCTGATTTGATGTTTCTTCTGGAGTGAACCTCTCAAAGTCCTGTTCTCACCCTGGGGAGCAATTTGTGGATATTTTGTTGAAGCATAGTACTCACAGGCACTCTCTTAAACTTGCTTTTCAATAATATCAAAGGAAGACAAGCTCTCATTATTTTCAGTCTGCTGACATCTAACCATATGTCATTAGTTTAAGCATAATTTACTGTACACAGAAGGTTCTGGGTTTGTTGGGAGTATCAAACACAATATGATAGCACCAACTTCAGAGAAAAACAGGAAACAGCGGAAGGCAATGGATTATGAAACAGCTGGATTCCCAAAGCCCTCCTTTCTCCCCCTCATGTTGGACAATTTTTGCAGTATCTTAAAAGTCAAGAACACCAGGGGCATGGTGGGAACAGACCGCCTCTGTAAGAGAAGGAAGTGCATGTATGTGCCTCTGTGTGCATGAAGCAGCAGGAGCATGCAGTAATTTTGGCAAGGGACTTGATGGCATCTGTTTTCAAAAAGGAATGAGGATGGTGGTTTTCCTGAAATAGTATGGGTATTTGATTAACAAACGTGTAGCTCTGCTGAACTGTAATCACAACAGTTAGGAAATCAGGCTCTTAAAACTTTTTTTGCCCTGTGGGTATGAGAGGGGAATTTTGTCCTCTCAAAGGCAGAATCTCTTTCAATGCAAAGCCTTTTTGATTTGAGGGCAACAGACAACAATTTATTTTAGAAAAACAAAATATTCACAATGAATGATCGTTCCCCAAACTACTTGCCTGAATTCCTAAACCACTATCCAAGAAACAACCTCAGTGAGCTCTTATTTTCCATTACTTTTCACGAGAACAGAACCCCTGCCAGTGACTCCTTATGGTAGGGGAAACAGAAAGCAGGGGGGTAGCCATGCAGTGGAAAAGGAGTCAAGCTAACAACTGAGTCCACCACTATAAAGGAATAGTAATACATAGCAGTTTTCACTATTAATATGGAAAAAATCAAACCAAGAATTCAACATTGATCAGAAAGTTCATTAGTACCTACACATCTAATATTAGGTCTACCGCATGAACCCTCTATCTTCCACAAAATAAAATTAACTCAATACCTGGAGATGCTGTCACGAGAAGCTGCTGAATCTAAGCTATCCATCCTTTCAGATGCTTGCAAACCAGAAGCTTGACTGGGATTTTTATCAATTGAGTCCAGTCCCGACTCCTCAGAAAGTTTCATCATGTGGTTCTGGTAATACAAATGGATGCTCTCCCGCGTTGGAACATTTCCCTGTGGAGGAGAGTAGAGGTAGATGTACAGTGCAGGAGGGAAATGTATTTTTCAAGGAATCAGTTTCTTCTGTCATTTGGCAAGGAATAGATTAGGACTGTGCAAACGGCTGCCTAGTAATTAATAACTCCCATTTGTAGGTCCTTTTCAGAGTGCAAGTCAGATTCTGACTTAAACTACCATGGTGCTAAGTGTTTGGTTTTCAAGCAAAACTGGAGCAACCCACATGATTTCACTATATACAGCCACCACAACTCTGCTGCATGGACTGCAGATTATTCAGCATGAGAATGAGGTGTGGACTGAGATCATGCCTCAGTCTGTACTCCAGCAACATTTGAGGTATCTCTTTCAGGTAGCTTCACTGACTCTAAGAACAAACATACATCTTATTAGTGGCTAGTAGCAGTATTTTTAAATGGAAAAAAAATGAAACAGGTCATGTACAAATTGATCGAGATTTTCATTAGTGTCCCAAGATCAGAATTTGTTCAGGAATTATGGACACAGCTGGGAAACCATGAAAAATACGCCAAAGACTACTCTTTCTCTGTGACTTCATAATCATGCAAATTCATGAAAAGATGGTTTTATTAACTGTCAGCCCAGATCTGGGAACAGAATCAAGTCTTTCTGGCTGTGATATTGCAATCAGAATTCTAAAGGTGTGTCATAAGAATAAAACTGAAAATTTTATAGACTGTTCTTAGGTAGAAACACATCTAATTCATTCCACTAGCAGTTGCATTGACTTCAGATGATACACTGAGAGGGGAGATTGCTATTCTTGAACAGCCATTTTTCTGACTTACAACAAAGCCTTATGCAAGGACTTTTTCGAGCTAAAATAATAAAAGTAGTCTAATATATGGCCTGTATTTCCTTTACTAATATTATTAATTTCTAGTATTTCAACTCTGGTCCTTTACAGTGACTCAAAACTACAATATTCAAAATCTGATGTTTTGTGGAAAAAAAAATCTTAAGAACAAAATCTGACACCCAGGTTTTTAATTAGGTTTGTTTGTATACAAGCTGTGTTGCTTCTGCAATGGTAAATGTTTGTGCCATTATGACAGCAGGACTCTGAAACTATGGCACAGGTTACATTCTAGCTCCACTGCAGGTCTGGGATAAAGGATAAGAGTTGTGAAAGGAAAAGGTCCTCACAACTGATGGAGAACTCAATTTCAGGTTCTTCTGTAGCTGGAAGAGATACCAAAGGAATTCATACATCAGATTAACTCTACATTGAACAAAGAAATATGTCATCATGAGGGCTGCAGCGAGAGCCTCGTTTCTTGGGCAGCAATGACAGTCATGGGGCTGCTACAGAGACTTAGTGATGCTACAGAAGGGCCCCTAGTACCAGAAGATTTAGGATTGAAGTAGGATATACCAGCCTGTGCAAGGACACATGGGCTCTATTTTAATCAAAGTAGCATCCTGGTAACATGCAATTGAAATACATATACAAATACTAAATCTACTGGGAACAAAAGATAGGAAAAACTCAAAGAACAATTAAAATATGGTCTCAAATTAGTAATGGCCATAGAAAGGCAGTTAGCCTGGTTTCTGCATAAATTTCAAGAATCAGGGGCAGTGAGAAGTAATCATATTGTGCCATCACACATTGACAATGGCTGGGCAATAAAAGGCTTTATTGAGGTCAAGAGTACTAATGTGTTGTTGACCTTTTGGACTAATTAATTCCTGAGACAGTCTGCAGCTTTTAACAAAAACTAGAAGGACCTAAAAATGCCAGATTTCCTAGAAATAGTTGGGTAGCTAGTGACATCTATAAAAATACCTGTGCTTAAAATGAGATCTTTATCCAACTTGAAGGTATCTACTTATGCCTGGAAGATCCAAATACATTTCTAGTTACACTAGCAGCATTAATCTTTGATAATAATGGGCTTTGCTAACACACAGCTAGCTTGTGAAGGAGCACATAGCTTCACTGTGATTGAAGAAATTTATGCCTATATGTTGTCAGTCATTTCTAATGCAAATTGGTCTACAAAAAGACGTAGACTGAGGTTGTTTTTGAGCTCTGCCTTTTCCTCCCTTCTTGAATCTATTTTGTCCCCTCAAAACAACACTATGACACAGAAGTCTTTCAGACAAAATCTTATATTAACCTCTCAAAGAACTACTTTTCCAATAATTTGTTTTGTGTCCAGATAATAAATCAAATAATTTATTATTTACATATTTATAAAACAGCAAGCAATAAAAGAGTCCGGGCGTATTTTTAAAACGCATGTATAAGTGAGATTTTTACAACTTTACTCCTTACTACAGTGTAGTAGAAAAGACAATCTTTCACCTTTCACCAAGCTGGAAACGGCATTAGCAGACCAAAAAGACCAAAGGCGTTACCTTCTTAATCTCCCTGGTCAGCATACAGCGCTCAATTCTTAGCACAGTGGAGATATCGATGTGTTCTCTTGAGATGGAATTAAGCCAAGCTGTAAAACTGTCTAGTGTTGCCAGGAAAAGGACCCAAGTGAACTTCAAGATATTAAATATCCTCTTGATGATGTTATCTGAGGGAGAGAAAAGGAAACAGAGAGTTAATGAACACAAATTTATTTTATTGTACTTTTGCCTGAAGTTAGATTAACTTTTTCCTTCATTGTCTAACAATAATAATCCAGTCTGCGAGACCCTGTCATACTAAGGAATCTCTAAAGATGACTAGAGGCCTTTTGGCTGTCTGGACCATTTTCCTGACTGTATGCCTAGGCTTATCATCTGGAATCCCTTTTCCACCCTATAAGTCCTTGGTCCTCCAATCGTTAGTCATACTAACAGTCTCTGAATTTAGAGACACTGTATGCACAGGTCTGTAAAATGAAACACAAGGATTTGGGCATCTCCTGAGAGTATTCAACATCTCCAGGTCCTGTGATCTGAAAAACTGCTCAGCCAGCCTATTAAGTCAGACCTCTTAACTATCTATTTACTTGTGTGTGTTTCTTTCTGTACAAACCTGGCCTTTTGTGCTTGAACCTTGCTTAGCTGGGTTTTAAAGTCTAACCTGTCTAAATAGTCTTTTAATCTCTTCCAGTTTTCCAGCCTCCTAAACATACATCTTTGTGTTTTCTGTTTTCAAAGCCTCTGTTTTTCTAAATAGGTTGCACTGTGCCATCAGTGATCTCAGGACAACTAGAACAACTAGGAAAAATAGTAATTTATAAAACTTTATTTTTGCACCATTTTGTCAAAACAGTACACTTTCCCATGAATAAGGCTTATGGGTTTATACCAACAATAGTAGCTTTATTTTGCTCGACACATCTGTCTCAAGTTAATTTCTCATTTTGGTAGTTCAGTCAGCATTAGTAACTGCATTTCTCATCCAAAAAGCAGCACTTCCAACTTATCTTTCTTCCACCCACAACCATACACACCACACTACAGTTCTCATATAGTGTTGCAAGTGTTCAAAGCTGTGTTGGATGGGGCTCTGAGCAACCTGGTCTAGTGGGAGGTGTCCCTGCCCACGGCAAGAGGGGTTGAAACTAGATAATCTTTAGGGTCTCTTCCAACCCAAGGCATTCTATGACTCCACAAATCTACGAAATACTAAAAAAATTCTTTCCAACTAGCCATTTCCAGAGCTAGTTGTCCCTGCTAGGTTCTAAAGCCCAGAGCACCAGTATAAAGATGAATTTTAGATTAACCAGCCTAAGAAAAGTGTCAGTAATCTGCCGTGCAGGGACAAAATATTTAAAGTAGATAGTAAGGAGCAAATCTGTGTGCTAAAGCATGACCCTTCCAACAACCTCAGTTCTTTGCTGTACCACAAGATGGCACGCGGCACTCTGTGGAGCGCACATTCACTCCTTACAAAGACTGCAAAGGTGAAGCGGTAATAAAGCAAAAGATCTCCCGAAGAGGAACATGCACATGTCGGTGGGTGGGCTGTATGCATGTATGCGTGTAGAGAAAACGAAGAAAAAAATCATTAGTGGTACATTCCTGAAAAGCGGATGCTGAAATGGTAGTTTATTCCATTTATCTGAGCAATGCCACCGAACTGGTCTGCTGCCTGCAAACATATGAGCATTTAGCCCCTTTTCTTGGTCATATCATTAATTTAATGATATTTTTCTTTTTTTTTTTTTTTTTTTTTTTTCCCCCAGGCCTTTTCTATGTCATTTAAAATTGGAGATATTTTATGAGTTATCTAATTAAAATTTATTCATTCAACATGCAGGTCTTGAAGTTAAGGAAATCTCACCATTAGAAATTAAATGTAAAGCTGTTTCTACTTCACGGACCATTAATTTCCTTTGAATTCCTGATAACAGGAATGAATAGGTGAAAAGAAAACAGTACTCATACATAAAAATATACAATATGTAAATATTCATTTTTAACCCATAGTGTTCTCTAATACACAGTTTCTGCTACTGACTTCAGGAGAACTACAGCTCATAGGTTAAAATTTTCCTTACAGTTGACCCTCACTGGCATGCCATAGTCTCACCATGGTGCCAAGCATTTCCAGTCTAATCTGGAAGGTCATTTTTCTCTCCAGGATGAAGGTGATTTAGCATACATTTTTAATGACACTGTAGCTGTTCTGGCACCTTTGCCGTTCTCCAAAACTTTTTAAAAATAATCTTTTGGAGATCAATTGCATCTAAACATCCTCAAAATAGGAAACAAATATTTGCTTTTGGCAGAGAAGGGTCAGATGCAGAGAAGGTTTCTCTCTGCCTGGGAGTGTGAGATAGGAATTGATCTAAGGTTTGTAATTATACTAATGATTCATTGCCAATTACTCTCTAATTTTTCTAACCATTGTCTTTAACAAAATTTGCCTCAGAATGGTCAAAGTATTTGAACAAAAATATAAAGTACCTTAAATTGATTATTTCTAATATAAATTATTTATAAAACTCTTCCTTTTTCCCTAACTCCCATGTAGCACCAACAGTATATCCCTGGAGATGCATTTGAGTGATTGACTTCAGTGTTTTAACATGGATAACTGCACTGCCAGTAACAAATAAAAAAGCCCACCAAGCCCTACCCCCATGGCAATGCAACTCGTTTATTTGAGACTGTTGCCCTTGTGAGATAAAAATGACATCTCTCACATCCTTGTGACATCTTCTACCATGTGACTCACTTAGGGATACAATGCTAACTGAAACTTTGTGAAACAATCTTAAATAGAGAAGAAAAATAGCTTTTAATGACAAAGTCTCACTCAAAGTAAGCCATGATGAAGACTTACTTAAGAGGAGAGTCTGTTTTCTTCTTTCATTCCAGTTAGAAACAAGGAGTCAAGCTTAAGATTTATGATCTAATAAACTTCTTCGTAAGAAAACTTTCAATATGAGCAAGATCCTGTAAACTGCTGGCATTTCTTCTGTTGTGCAGAACAGCCATAAGTCTGATTATGAATAAGGATGTGTAAGATCAGGAAAATACAATTTTTCAGAGGTGACTATTGTATCTTGCTGAATGGGTAAGTAAAAATAAAAACATTATATTAACCTGGCTAAAACATGTTGAAAAAGCCCACAAGGGCTTTGTGCTAATAATAGCATTTCAGACACTCAAAATCAATTGAGATTTTAACACAGGCTATATGCAATCACATCTGGAAACTAAGCTTAAGTTGTTCTAAAAGCAAAATACATGTCTGAGATGGCAAACGTATTTACTACTGTATGTAGAGAATGAGTGCAATAGCTAATAGTCCAGAACTAGAAGTTCCTATGCCCAAGGCTTGTAAATCTCACAGTTGAAAATCTGACAGTAGTTAGGGAATTACCACTGCATTGGTTACAGTGGATTTCATGGCTTTGACGCGAGGCTGGGATCATTGCAATGTTTTCTCTGTGATATGCCACCAGCCACAATTGCACTGTAATAGCAGAGAAACTCTTTTTCTGCCTTCATACCTGGTCCATCAGATTTCTTCTTGACAGGCTCCTCTTCACTGTCTTCACAGTCCGCATCAGTGCCACCTCCTGTAAATGATGAGGGAAACAGCGAGAGTTACACCTATAGAAGGGACAGTGAAAATGCCACTCAAGCTAGAAAATGCTACAGTTACTAAGCAGTAGTGACTGGTTCCTCACCTACCATCATAACAGACAGCACATTTCCATTTCTAAAGGACTCAAGTGAGGAGCCAACTCTGTCAGCGAAGGTTTTAATGGATAACCATCCCTCTCTTGTAACTTGCAGTGGTATTTTCTTACTAGATAGGCTGCTGAGTGAGGTCATCTCTTGGTGTAAACCCAGATAATTTCTCAGCCACACTCAGCAGCCTCACCTTCTGCTGACTCATATTCGAATTCACTTCTTTACCTACTGCAAAGAGCATCCTGGTTCAGTGTTCTGACCTTCGCCTGCCTCTGACCCACCAAACCCAGAGGACTTGAGTGGGACCTTCAGGTTGAAATGAAGCAGTAGAGTTGGTTTGAAATTACCATGCGCTTTTATTTAGGCCTGTAGCAAAAGAATGATGTAGAATTGCAGGCAGAAATGAAGGGCAGATGACCTTCCTTCTATCTAATACTCAGTTGCAGCTAAAGTGGCAGCAGACCAGTTATAAAGTTCCTTCTTTTTATGGGTGAAGATGCCAAAACAAGGAGAGGTCTAACTGATTCAGCCTGTATTGGCCTCCCTTATTCTCCATCTATACTGACCAGAAAAGCTTTTGAATTTCTACTTTCTTGTTTAAGGAAGGAGAAAAATATGAAAATATAGAAACCACCTATAAACTGATTTTTTTCAGAGGCATGAATGATTTTACTGTGCCAGTAAAACTCTATTAACATTTGCATGTTTCCCTTTTGCTACCTACTGAATTTTCTGTGAATTTAGGGGTTCATGGATATTTGGGTTCCTCAATTAGTACATCATGGAGAGTGAAAAATATTTCTAGATATTCTTTCCCATATATCAATTCAGTCTTCTTTAGGGAACAATATTTCTTCAAGAAATGTGGCCAAAAGAAATAATGTGTAGCTATTTCATTGAATATTTCTTACAGCTCCACTTGAACTACAGCTCTTTGGGAACTCCCTCATGAAACTGTCCTTCAACACCTTTCCCTGGGAATACACATGAATTTACCATCAAAATGAGTGACTTTGAGCAACTCTAGAAAAGTCTGGACAGAAAAGTTAAGAGATAAACCTTTTTATGAGGTGAGGGAGTTAAAGTGTAATGTCCTTGCTCTGCCTGATTCTGGGCAAACAGCTGGCATTTACACTCCTATATTCTGAAGTAATGCTGTTAACTACCAGGTTTTTGGCTTTATAAAGTTACATCTTTAAAGGGTTATGGCTTTGTATTGCAAGTACTCCCACAAATGTTTTCATATAGCTGAAATTTTCTGCAACGTGTTGAATCTTCCTATTTAGTTCTGGGCATATGTCTTGCAACTCCATGAACATACACAGATCCCATCTTCTCCTTTATCTCCCTCAATGTGTATTATGCAGAAGAGAAGGACATGGCTATGGCTGACCTTGTGGGACGGTGAAGGGAAAGACCACCAGCCAAAGTTCAATTCATTTTTCCAGTTCCTCGCTAGAACTGAGAGCACTTATCCTCTAAAGCTCAGCTGCCTTTTACTACCAGAAGCAACAGGCAATATTTAATATTGAATTTTTTAAATTCAAAAGGCTACCTACCATCCCCAGATCCTTTTCGCCTTCGTTTCTCTTTCCCAAAACTTTTCTTCTCTTTGCGCCTCTGTCGTAGAGCTGTTTTAGGGTCAGTAATCCAGGCTTGATAAACAAACTGGAAGGAAAAAACTCATTTATTTCAAGGGTCTTCATGTTCTGAGAGTAAGCCATAGAATAAGCCACAAGCAGCACTATATAATTCAAGTAAATGCATTCAGATCTGCAGAGGTAAGAAAATACTTTTAATCCCAAATCAAACACCTCCACTGCAGATCTGCTGAGTTTTCATGTGCTATTTTCGTAAGCGTAAAACCAAATGTGAAAATACTTGTGGGTGAACCAAGTTTCATTAGAATCCACAAAAATTCACGTTCTGAACTTTGGGACTTAATACCTTGTTGTGCATATGGGCTACCTCATCCGAATCTCTCTGTTTAACTCTGTATTTCTACTTTACCATTTTACAGGCAAGATGCAGAGTAATGGAAACTTTGAAAGTGCTACAATCAACTAACTAAAACATCAAAAGATGTAGAGATATCCCTGTAAAGGTATTGGTGTCTTTTTCATAGTTTAGATACTTTTTTCCCCTCTGTAGATCCCAGTGGAATATTTATGGATTCATTATCTATACACAGTCCCAAACCTTGCAGTCAGGAATTCGTCAAATTACACTGATCTTGACAATGCCTGTCTTTGTTGCTTCAGATAAGTCACTTATGAATCCTTCTGCTACAGGTTTTCCAGTCATAAAAGGAAGACAGTAATACTTACCTATTTATCAAGGGGGATTTATAGGGTCAAATTCTGCTCAAAGCACTCACTCAGATCAACAGTCTGTTGACCTGTATGACTGCATGAAGCGTGAAATTGGCTTAAAATATTTATAAATGCTATACCAGTGGGGGGAAAAAATCAAAATAAAAAAAGCTATTGAAAAATAACTTTTTTAATAGTTCTGCTTAAGCTGTGAAGAAAGGCTAAAGGGAAAAAAAAAGCAGTAAAACTCATATCTTTTACCTTTTACCCCTGTTACATAAATAACAGAAACTAAAGTAACTTTATCCTCTCCACGACTCTACAGGACAAAAGATGTTCTTTTGTTCATTTTATGGTTTTCATTGAAAAATGGTAGTCATCTTCAACTGGCACTGCATTGTCTTCTATTTCTAAGCAAACACAGGCTGATAACAGAGACAGAAGGGAAGCACACAGATTCAAGCATGCAGCTGAAAAAGCACAGTAACAAAACAGCTCTATTAATTCACAAGACAAACATGCAGACAATGACAACAACACATGTATCTCAGTGAAGCTGGAACAGCCCCTAATAGGACAGAATGGTAGAATTTCTATTTGGTTTATTTATAGTTTTAAAATTTTATTATGCAAATTTCCTTGGAACATTAAAACCATTTTTTTTTTAATGGTCAAACTGACACTAAATGAATTTAAAAGGGAGAAATACTTTTAACTTACTGAAAATCAGAGACTGTAAACATCTGCTATTGTAGTAGCAGATGTAGAAACTAGAGGTAAAAAGCAGACTAGCAAGGAGATAAAAAGTTAGAATTAAGAAAAGGCATTTGATTTATAAATTTAATGTAACTACTTAGGCTAAGTAGTGGATATTTTAAGAGCAGATTGAGTGCATACAGTTAAGATTTTTACCACTGCACAACCTTTCAATTCAATATCTTTTAGGCTTTGGAGCTGGTATGCTCCAGCTGTAACACACTCTCCTTTCAAATATCATGTTGAGGAGTGTAAAATGATACACAGCACTCAAAGGTAGGAATGTATTCAAGGAGGACAAGAGAGAAGAGGCACAAATCTTTTTTATGATGATAAAGACCAGAAAAGCAGAGAGCTAAAAAGGGGTTTGGAGCAGAATGTGTATTTTACAAACCTTTTACCAGCTTTCTGAGATCAATTACCAAAGTGTCCATAAGATACATGCAACTTGATGTGACCATCTTGCATATCAGTATCAGAAGAAAATAAGAATTTGGGTCTGCATTTTCTCTCCAAGGCTACACTTAAAAAAAGATAGACCACTTTGCTTGTTACTTGACCACTCCAAAATTATGAAATGTATTGCATTTATGAGGAATAAAGCTTTAATTGTTACTAATTTTTTTAATCATCCATATAAGAGGAAAAATGCAGATCAGGACATTACATCAGGATGTATGGGATGGGTCACATACTAAGCATTTGCAAAATGTTAGGTACCTTTGCTGCTTTGATTAAATACTGAAGAATAGTTTTAGGTAGTTTAATGATAGACTTTGGCAAGGCTAAGATGGCTGAAGCAAATTTTCCAATAGCTCTCTATAAAGAAGGACAAAGCAAGAATAATTAGTAAAAAGTAAGAAAATATTAATAAAAAGGATCTATTAAATTACTGTATCTAGATTATTAAGAACAAATTTGCATTCATAAACTTCAATATGAACAAAAATAATTTAGGATGTTCACATTAAAAATTTCAGTAAGATGAATCGTAACCAACTGAATTCTCCAAAACATAAAATCTCCATGTTAACCCTTGAAGGGACTATTGCATACAATTTACACTGAAAGAAAAAACATAAATTGAAAATAATTCTTTAAGACAAGCTACAGCAACATCCACTTTCCTAGTATTTCTATAAAGACCATGCACCTGGTGATGGAAGGTGAAGAAGGTACGTTGACCAGATGATGAATAAAAATTATTTTCTGTTCTATACAAGTCTCTACCTATATAATGCCACCAAACACCTTCATGTTGCACATATTGCACTTTATTACAGGCCACCTATACATCTGACCAGAATAGTGAACAGATCCTTCATCCTCAAATTAATAGTTTCCAGACTGAGATGAACAAAAAACCCAAACCCCAGAGTAAATAAAAGAATCTTGTTAGCTTCTGACCTCAAGTTCAGAAAGCTTTAAAATTTCAGGGGCTGGCACCAGCACATCTGAACAAAATGTTGTCACCAATTTTTAAAAAATCAGCAGAAACAAGAATGCAAACTTTCCTCTATATACCTGCATGAAAACCAGAAAGAAAATTGACCTAGAAATTGATGAGCCATTTCTATGGTGCAAGGTAAGTTAAATGCAAAATATTTTAAAAATAGCATAAATAGTAGAAAATAAAACTTACTTATCACACTGCTTTAATCCAGATTTGTTTTGCCCTTATTAAGGTAGGAAATCTTTTTCCCTGTCATTACCATGCAGGCAGTTTATCAAATGTAATGTTATGTAGTGTAAGTATATAAACCGAAGGCACATTGTATTAATGAATTAAATAAAAAAAATTCTTCTTATAATTCAGTAATGTTGTCTGGGAACCTTTGTTTAAAAGCTTCTGGTTTAAGGAATAGAAGAGCATGGAGGCAGTCTCTTGCTCTTGCTTGGGTTGAACTTTTAGTAACACATCAGCTCTGCAGTGACATGAGCTTGCGTTTGGATGGGAATATGCATCTGCAAAAAGCCGCCTGTTTAGCTAAGCTTTTAAAGTTACATATACAAAAAAGTTCTCCAGAGTTTCTGGACATTCTTCCAAAAGTAAAGCTTTAATATTATAAGGACAAAAGCAATAATAGGTTCATGAGAATTTCACTAACTTCTTCACCCGAGTTCTTCACTTGAGCCACTGCATTCAGTATCTGCTACTGTCTAACAATCAGCCTATATTGAGGAGCCCACATAGGAAACTTCAGGTATCTTTTTAATATTACAATATCCTCTTTCATCAATGCAGTCTGTCACTTAAAATGCAAATATATAAATTATTACTGTCCTGAAAAAGAAAGAAAAGAAAGTGATGTGTAATTTTAAGTGTTAAGCACTTTCTAACCTGAGGATCAAAAAAAATTTTTTTTTAAATTAAGTATTAATTCTTTTCCATGAAAAATTGCTTATTTTTGGGATCATTTCTTCATGGAATGATAACATCCACTTAAAATCAGTAAACCACTAGAGGCACTGTGTAGCAGTACCAGAGGCAATTGTCTTTAGTGCAATGCAGAAAAAAAAAAGGCTCAGATTCTTAACCTCTGGTTTTTGGTATTTTTGTTATCTTTAGGAATAAGTCAATGAAGATATGACTCCACTATAGTTCCTGTGGGAATCTGGCAATGTTTAAAATAGGCAAACTTGCACTATAAGTTGGCAAGAAACGTAATTTCCAATACTTTTCAGGACTACTTTAGAGGTACTGGCAGCTTTAACATATGTGCCTGTGTTATGGGAAACCTACATTTTTTTCCAAATGTCAACTAAAAATTACCATAAAGTACCTGAAATGCAGACTTTTTTCGAGGTTCTTCCTCTTCCTTTTTCTCCTCTTCCTCTTCCTCTTCACTATCCGTCTCAAACAAATAATAATTTCCACTTCTGACCACTAAGTGAAACAAAATATGTTCTTATTTTTCTGAAAAGTTCTATTCTCAACTCCCCCAAAACTTATGAACAGCCAGTCATTTAAAAATTCATAACCAGGAGAGGTGAAAACAGAGAACAAGCAAGAGATGAAAAGTTCTCAGGCTATTTATTTGATGTTAGTCTGTGATACTTTGGGCATGAATAAGAACTATACAAAAACTAAGGAAAAAGTTTCTTCTCACCGTGAGAAGAAAATGTAAAGAAAAGATTGAAGTATATTAGGTTACAATGATTATATTTTTTTGGAAAAAAAAAAAGGCAATTAAGTCTTAATTAATTGGGGACTGATGGTTGGTCATTTGAGGGAGTGAAAGAAGCCCAGCAGGTAAGTAAATGAACTTACATGAACAGTACCACTGGACAAAAAATACAGAACTTCTCTTTAAAACACTGAGTCATCCTTTAAACTACGGAGTGGGATGGTTAAATACTTTCTTCAAACATGTAAGCTTTGACGAAGTAATGGAAAACCTTGGCTTGTTTAAAACAAATCACTTGAATTCTACTAACATGATTGTAAACAAGTTTCAATTTTTTGCCCATGGATTCAGAAAGGTTCTGAAACCTTGATACAGTATAGATGCACAGTGATTAAGCTAGGCCTTATATCCTTGAACAGAAGCAGAAGTTTTTATTTCTCAGATGGCAATAGGCCTACATGAATGAACAAGGGAAACCAAGGAAATCAAAAATAAGGTAATGAGCAAGAGAAAAATAAAAATCACAGCATTACATTCAGCAGTGAAAACTGGTAAGTATTTTCCACATTTAAGCTGAAATACTTAAAGGAATAGTTACTTAGATGAAACATCACACAATCTGGATATATGAAGCAATACATATTTATATAAAATTATATTTTACCCTCATTACAGGTCTCTGGAAAAGTAACAATTGTTTTAATTCAATCATACCTTGAATTTTACACTGATCTTTTGTGCACAGGTGACCACACATAAATGCTGTGGAAACCTCAGAGTAAGCACACTGTGAAGTTTGCCAGAACTCTTTGGATCATAACTTTGGCATCTAAAATTCCCTCTCAGAGGGAATTTTGTGCCTCATATGCCTAGTTATGACTTTTAATATCAATGATTGCCCTGCAGAGGGACAGAAAGTCCATTTCAGCAGTACTAATTGCTGCACTGAGGTGAAAAGAAAGTCTGGAAATTTCCTGGATGAAGCAAATGAATTATTAGGTACTCAGCCTTCCAAGAATGCCCATTTAAAATGCATTGAAGAGATGAAAGCATTTTAAGAGCCACTAGTCTGCAATTCTCTTTAATAAAAAGGTATCTTGTAGTCAGCAACAGAAACTGTCCACACAGAGGATCAGCTGGATAAGGTCTGGCACCTAGAGATGTCTGCTCTCTAACCTTTACTGCACTGCAGTTCTTTAAAGACTCACAGTGGCACTCTGTCAGACTTGGAACGCCTGAGATGGCAGAAAACAAATTTACACTGATCTTGCTCCAAATTTTTTAGGTTAAAGTGTATTTGAGGGGACACTATAATATAGCAGTTACAACTCTTTTTTTACAGCTAAAGAGGGAGGTATGATTGAATAGCAATAATGCATTCTTGCACACATCAAAATGGAGTAAGTGGTGTGTAAGTCACCTACAGGGCTTGTGCCCAGAGGGAAAGAGCTCATGAGACCAGCTGCAAGAACCAGCCATCTTTTGCAGTACATCAGGCACAACTTTGTGCCCCAGGAGAATCTAAGGACCTCAAAGCACATGGTCTTAACTCCTGCTGGTCTTTGTGGGGTTCCACAAATAATCCACAGGCACAGGAGGAACTGTAGCTTATCTCTTCTACTCCAACACAAATTCATGACTGTTTTAATTGCTATGGTATACAAAATGACGTATCTTTCCATACAATAAAATTATAACAATTGATATAAAAAAACCAATAAAAATCTAAATTAAACCAAAGAATTGGCACAAAACTTCAAGTTAAGTGACTTCAATATACACATATGTACAGCCACAGCCACAAACGCATTTACTGATATGAACAGCCACGTGCTGCAGAATGCTGCAGTTACAGCAGTGCTTCAAAAAGAATGCATGGGGAATATCAGTCTATTTGCAGTTTGCATGCCTGTGAACATCTACTGTCAGTGCCGCGTTTCAGTGAGTGTGGATGCAAGTCACGTGACAGGCAACCACTGATTGTAGAATCAGGGTCTGTGATGTTTCCCACAAGGTTTTGCATTATTGCAGGAAATAATTTCAAGAATGCTCAATATTTAAATAACAAAATGAAAGTTGCCATCTAAGAAGTTAAATAATGAGGGTGAAACAAGTAAAAGCCAATGTGTCTCTTTGTGCAGTTCTTCTTACTAAAAAACCAGTGATGAATAAAAAAGAGACCATATCCCATTCCTTCAAAATCACCATAGCTTGAAATTCCATAGTAAAAACTCACAAATTGTAGTTTTGATCTGTTTTGTCATTGTTATTCTTAATGAAACTACAGGGCAAGAAGTTTATTTTCATAAGACTTTTGAAAAGGGATAGGTCTCTCTAAAGTGGCAGTGTGCCCTTTAGAAAAACAAAAGTAGAGGCACAGTTTACTTGTGACTTGATAGAAACAAACATACCATGTTCTGTTAAATACTGCTAGAGTTATAAATAAATACACATGGGTAAATGAAGCAGTATGCATATGTGTAAAATTATGACTTGGAGTAACCCTTTTAAACCAAATGAACAGGCACAATACAGACATTCATATTTTTTATGGCATGAAGCTGAGTCGGGGAAGGTTTAGGTTGGATATCAGGAAAAAGTTTTTCACCCAGAGGATGGTTGGGCACTAAGCAGGCTCCCTAGGGAAGTGGTCACAGCACCAAGCCTGTCTGAGTTCAAGAAGCGATTGGAAAATTCTCTCAGGCACATGATGTGAGTTTTGGGATGACCTGCAGAGGGCCAGGAGTTGGACTCGATGATTCTTATGTGTCCCTTCCAACTCTGCATATTCTGTGGTTCTGTGATTTCACTCTGATCAGTGCTATACATTTAAGTATTTTTTTTAAATCTTCAGAGGTTATTAAATATCTCAAGTTTGATTTCATTCAACAAAGATTCAATCGAATTAAATCCAATTTGAGATTGCAGCCTACTCAGTTTTCTTTTTTTACCTAATCCATAATGTAGGGATGAACACTATCACATGCTCAGACTGGGCTACAAACAAATTAAAATATCATAATGCAACAATGACATAGACTAATACTTTCTTGTGCACAAGGCTGAAGATATTTTTGGTCTCAGATAAACACACAAAAAATGGAGATAGCAAAACAACTGGCATCAACAATATATGCAAAGTGTGATCAGAGAGATGCGGACCTCTGCACAGCCTAGTCCTGAGAGTAGTCTCGCTGCCTTACTGTGGTACTCAGATTTCTACAGTTGGCACGAGAATGACTGATGAACCATAAAAAAATATGTATGATGTGTATGTATGAAAAAGAAGTTATGACTAATCTTAGAATGCATTGGCAAACTTTCATGTTCACATTTTTAAATATATTTGCTCTGCAGTAGGGGAGAGTTGAGACTTTCAAGATCAAATAAGATTCTTTTTGGCATACATTTATCTAATTTGATATTTTTCTAAGAATGCTCAAAGTATCATGGGCTAGTTATGCTTCCAACACACAGAAGGTCAAAATAAGATTAAACTCCTTGAAGATTGGGAAGTGGAAATCATTTGTTGAGAAAAACAAGCCTTCTATCAAGTCACAGTCACAAAATTAGGCATAAAACAAACAGGTCATGGGAATGCCTTAATTCTGGTCAAGGATATAAGGATTAAATCCATATATTTGTAAGATGATTGAGAAAACCTACTGGAAGCATGATCAACCCAAGGCCGCCACCACAGCTTTTTTTTGCCCTTGGCTTTCTCTTTGTCTGCTTCTCCTAAAATAAAATATGTCCAAATATTAATTTTACAAAATGAGAAACACGTTTCTTACACTGATTAATAATTTTTAATTTCTCTCAAGAAAGCTTAAATTTCATGAGATATCAGATGTCAAATCTACTGAGTACATTCAATATTAAGATAATTCAAAACCACTAAGAAGAAATACTCTGATTTATGCAGCAGTTAAAACAGCATTCCATCTACAACTGCTAAAAAGTTGAGTTTTGTGTTTTAAAACATACAGTCACACTTGACTGTAATTTAAAGAAGAAAACATTTTCCCTCATCTCAAATCCCCTTACATTTCAGGCTCTAAAAATTTTAAATCCAATAAGTTCTGACTCCAAGTTGGTGCTTGAAATGTGGCACTAGATAGGTATCATTTTATTGGCTCCCATGTTTTAAATATCATTTAAAAGTATAAAAACATCTCAGTGACTGAAAAAAATCTGTAGCAGCATCCAGAAAACGTTGCTGGAAAAATGTGGATGCTACCTATTTGTAACCCTGTGGTTTATAGATAATTACTTTTATCTAAGCAAACATCTGCTGCTATTCAGCTCTGCCAACAGCCTGAAGTTAACCAAAAGTAACCTCGAAGCAAACCATTTTCTCTAAACCATTTTACGGCACATAATCACAGATTTTTTCAGTTGAATCAAGCCTGAAACTGATACTTAGCTAACAACCTTGCTACATGCTGACAGTTTTGAAGAACAATTTATCACTTGTCCAACTAGTAGGTCTATTAGATCCTTAGCACTCAACTGCAATTATGGTACAACAGCAGCTAATGGTACCTTCATCATCTTCTTCAGAAACCTTCCGAATCTCCGGCCCCTCTGAGGACTCCTGGTTCATGCTTAGCATTCTCTCTTTACCCTTCTTGTATTTTTGCTGCCTGGCTTTGATGCGATCCATTCTAGCAAAAGGTAGAATATTATTAGATTCATGCCTTCACCCTTTTTGACTCACTCTGAAAAGTAAGTGTTAAACACACACACACACACACACACACACATTAAAACACTTCTAAGGGAAATGTTCCACATTGTCATTAATCTTGCCCTTAAACATAAGGAGTTACATGGCTCTAAAGGGGCTGGTTGCAATGATCAAGCCTAGAAGTTTGCTCACTAGTTAGTGAGTGCTGGGTTGCCTGCTATCAAGACTGCTTTACCTACTCCTACCCAACTGTCTTATTATCACTTAAAAAATAAAGACTCGCTGTCAGGAGTTACAACACAGCAATTGAAGCTCTGAGGAAAAAAAAAAAAAGACTTCTGCCTAATGCAGTGCTTTTGGTGAAACTTGCCACTCTGAATCAGGGATGTTCCTGCACTATTTGTGCTACATCTTCACTCTTTAAGTTCATTTGTCCCAGCTGATTATTTTTTTTCATGTCTTCATCAATGACATGGACAGTGGGATCAAGCGCACCCGCAGCATTTTAGGTTGGCTAGAAGGAAGAATTTTTTTACAATGAGGGTGGTGAAACACTGGAACAGGTTTCCCATAGTGATGGTAGATGCTCCATCCCTGGACACATTCATGGTCAGGTTGGACAGGGCTCTGAGCAACCTGATCTCACTGAAGGTGTCCCTGCTCATTGCAGAGGGGCTGAACTAGATGACCTTTAAAAGGTCCCTTCCAACTCAAACTATTCTACGATGTTGTGATTCTATACAGGTAGGGAACACAGTCCCTGCAGTCTTCTGATTCTTCTGTAATTATGCAGGTGTGAAAGAAGCTGTTAGGGGTGGGCTTTGACACTTGGTTAGGAAGCAGTTAAAGCTTCTCATGCATAGTGGTGTAGGAGCTTCGAAAGCTTCCTACAGTTACAAAAGAAGGCTGCATGCTGGCTGAATGCAAGGGAAATCAAAGTGACTTATTGGCTGCATAAAGAGAAAGGATCTCCATGCCACTTAAACTGAACGAAAATATTTTCAGCGAAGGTAAACATATATTTCGCACTCAAACACTAGAGGGGAAACCATAAATGAAACAGAAGGAACAGTCATGCAACAAATTTTTCCAGAAATACCGAAGTACAAAACAAAATCCTAATAATGGCAAAACATTTCTATAAAAGAAAGTGCTAGATAAATACCACCAAGCAGTTAAATATGTACATACATATGCATATGTGTATATATATATATATATGTATATATATATGTAAATGCATTAAATACATACTGTCTCTTCAGTTGATCCATTGACTTTTTTTCCTCTTCAATTCTTGCCTTTACAGCCTTGACAATTGTAGCCTGAAAAAGCTCAGCACCCCTACATCAGAAATGGGGCAGAAGAGAAGAAAAAATGAAATGAAACATTAAATGTTTTCTAAGTTTCTCTTATGTCAGCTAATCACAGAGAACTCTCTGTTCCCTTATCTGCATCAAACAAAAATAATCCAGGGCCTTAAAAGAAATCTGCTCTGAAATACCAATATCTTTACAGTCAATCATTTCAAGATCTGCAGCCAAATGTTGTGAACCCTACCCGGCCTCTAAGTTCCTCTAGGGTTTGCTCAAGGAATTCAGTTTCCAGTCCTCAAGAATAGAGAACACAATTAGGTTCAAGACTGAGGTAGGATTTCTTGAACACCTCCAGGATTTTTTTATAGTCATATCAGTGTTATAATCACCTCAACCCCCTGCCTCAGTCCCCCTGGAAGTTGTGAGCAGTGTCCAGCTTTATCCAGGGCCATGATGAGCATAGCTTCAGCTTCACTTTTGCCCTCCAAAACTACAAGGGGTAGTTTTAGATCACACAATCTGATGACACAAACCCTTGAGCAAGTTTCTGATGTGTCAACAGAATATGGCTTCTCACCCCATTACATTAGAAATGTAATCAACTCCTTGATTTGGATGTCCTGTTCACATGTCTTGGCCATTCTTCCTAATTCACATATGAGCTCTCGAAGACTCTTAAAAGAGTCTTAAAGTCTCTTTCAAAGAAATAGCCTAGATTTAAAGCTTTTCTTTAGTCAGGAATTCAGTAAGAACAGCTACAGTTTTAGAAGTCTACTTTTAATCCAATATTAACAAAAGTAATTTCTTAGAAATGTTACAGAAATTAAAACCAGAATCTCATTCCTCATCTGCCTTCTTATTATAAACCAGAAGAATGTTTGTGCTAGTGATGGCTATGAGTGGATGTTTGTGGTGTAACTGGCCCAACAAGGTTAATACTTCCTTGCCACACCTAGTCAGTGTTCAATGATGTGACACTTCCCGAGTGTGTTCTCACTTCTTCCCAAGCCAGAGGTCAGAGCTTTCCTGTTTTCTTCCTCATGTGACATTTCTTTACATGTGATTTCTAATGACAATTGTCTCAAACAGGCTCTGAAAGCAGAGTATTTTCTTTCCAAGTCTTAGAAATTCTGGCATTTGCTCTCCTGCATATTCATGTTGAGAGAATGCTGCAACACATAACAACTTTCACAGTTTTTAATAGGAGCAGCAGATCATATTTGGCAAAAAAGATGGTTTAATTTCTATTAGATTCTCAATTACTTAGTTTTCTTTGCTTCATCAAATATAGGTTTGCAATTATGAATTTAGCATAGATTATTTAAACCAATGTTAAAGGACTATTTTGGTACTACTTATCATAAACAAGTAAGTATTGTCACCATGAGAGATTTTAGCTGTTTAATTTAAATTCTTCTAAATTTTAAGTTACCTTGATGCTAGGATCTGAGAAGCTTTTATATCTGCAACCACATGCAGGAAGTAGTAACTCATGAACACTCTTCTTTGCAGCAGCAGGAAAGCAAAACATATACTGTCCCAAATGATTCCTGCTTCTCCACTGGGCAGTTTACAATCTAGATTGCTGGTTGCTGGAAAAAGACATCATCAGCATAGGGACTGTTGCATTAAGTATTCTCTTGTAATGTTTAATCAAATAAATAATCTCAGCCTTTAAAATTATCTCAATTGAGGTATTTTAATTACCTTTTTCTTAAGAAAACCGACATACATTTCTACTTGAAACACACTATATATTCCTTTACAACAAACTTGAAAGCTTCCAACAATACGATGCCCCATGAAAATTGAGAATTCACCAGAAGTGAACCATTTGCAAATAAACTCACCCTACCGTCATACGTACTTGAAAACAAAGAATAGAAAAACCATATTTTTTGTTACACTGAATTGTCTGATTTCAATATTTTCTAAAATAGCATGTTTCAATTTTTTTTCCAGTTCAAAGCGGCCTCTTGTGTTAATTTTTCAATTAAGAACACTATCAACATGAGAAAGAAGTCTTTTACTTTTGTCAAAATAATTTTTTGACTGCCACTACCTAATATTTTTATTTTTCCTCTCCACAACTCAGTTCAATGTTTCTTTCCATTGCATAAGAGAAGAAATACTTGAAACCACAAAACTGCTTCCTTTGGGTAGGAGGAGACAGGCAGAGAGGAAATCCCATTCCTCTTACCTCTAGATTTTGGCTTGGGCTATTTCTTTCTTTCTTTCTTTCTTTATTCTCTGAAAGGCAGTTCTCTTGGGGATATTAAAAAATTAAAACTGGGTTTTGTGGAGCTAGACTATAAACTATATGGCCTATGCTGCCCTGTAGAAGGCAGTAGAAGGACTCAAGGGACAGGCTCCGGCTCGAAGCTGGCTTTACAAGCAAGCAAGCCAATCTCATAGCTCTGAAAGGTCAAGCTCTAAGAGTTTAAAGACTCCTGTGCACAACCCCTGGAGGGTCAGAAACCTGTGTCTAAATTTCTGTTACTGCCAAAAAGTTTTGGATAACACAAGAACTACTGGGCACCATTTATCTTGTGAATTTGTGTCTTCATATTTATTTACTTTTCCCCTACTCTGCACTTATCTGTTAGGATCAGACATGATGACAGGAATTCAGAACTTTGCTGTAGACTAACTAGGATGAAACAGTTCTTTAAATTCAGAAAAAAAAGAAAAACAAACAAACCCTAAAAAAAGTCAGGTGTTTTCAAACCATAAAACCAGGGTGTCAGGACAAAGTGGAGACAAATTAATAATTCACTGAGAGCTGAAGGGCTTTGCTCTCCATGCTTCATTATGCCCTTCTCTCACTTCCATCCATGCACATTGTCCACTCCCTTCCTGTTATCACCACAAACACAAGAATAATCAAAAGGGGGAAAAAAGCGCCTAAACTCACTACATATAAAAACCATTTACCAGTTTCATGCTATTTCAGTGAGCTGAACTGGTTTACCCTTTGAGCAACTGAACCCTGGTACAGAGGGAGGAGTGGGACTCCACATTCCACACAGGGAGTGCAGCTGGGAAAAGGTGCCCTCTTCTGGCAGTGATGCTGAGCTGACATTTTAACTCAAGTTGTACAATGAAACCATACCCTCAAATATCACATCATCTGCATGTACAGGGAAACTGTGTTAAGCCCAGCATCACCAAATTGTTCCTTTACAACAAATACTTGTTGTGAGTATTTGCATACATATCCTGGGGTGCTGATACCTATATGTGTCTACCTTGGTTCTATGAAATATTTTCAGTATTCTGTGTTGCTAATCAATATAGGACAAAACAGTATTGTGAACTTGCAGATACAATTTTTTCACAAGGTAACATGTCAAGGGAGGGCACAACTTAAATATGGTAGAGAATTCTAAGGGTGATTATTTATTTATACAAAATTCTGAAGAAAAATAAGCTATACTTACGAATACGGTAGCCTTTAACTGTACAAGCCAGGCTGAATGCCTGAATGACCCAGCAACTATTCTTAATTAATGATTCAATGTAGCCACATGCTCCTATCTGGAAGGTAAAAGAACAGTTTCATATAACACGACATAGCAGAAATAAAGATAAGGAAAGTTGAACCTTTCTACGTTACACGAGAAGTAATAAAGCCAAGGGTAGTTGAATCATCCTCATTACTAAAATGGGGATTTGAAGAAAGAGCGGCCTTACCAGTGACACAAATGACATTTAGACAGAATTTGGTTTTCTGATTATCAGTGAGATAGGAGGTATGTGGAGTTTGTGTTCTTGCATAGAGAGTGACACATCTGGCATGTGATGTGATGAGACAGCTAAGCAACTTTTATAAATCACTGACTTAATCTTGCAAGCAAACATGGACAGGCTTAAGACACGTGTAGCTGCACTGAATTCCCAAGCATAAAATGAAGCACATATGTAAGCATTTAGAACATTTGCAAATTCAAACCACCCACAAATCAATTTTATTTCAGTACAGTGACTTATATAAATGTAAAAAGAAAAATGTCTGCTCTTTTCAGTCCAGCACTAAAAATGTTCAAAGTTAAAAAGAAATTGCCAGGAATAAATCTAAATTTATCTTTCAAAAAGATTTAAATTACTGGCTTGTCTCAATCAACTATCACGGCCACTGCAAGAATATACACTAAAGAGTTACTTAATGTAAGAAAACCTTTAATATTTTGCAGAATAATTTGACATTTAATTATCAAATATATCTGTTTTTACCTGAATTCCACAGTAGTTCTAAAGGAAACAGGAACACAGTTTGTAGTTAACTTCACTAATTACATTACATTCACACAACTGCATCTCATACTAAGTTTGAAAATTCTTTATTTAAATAAAATATCTAATTAAATGTGCTCTATTTATCAACACTGTGACTAACCTTGCACTCCTTACTCATTTTTCACTCCACAGGGATTTTCCTAAGTCTTCTAAGGAGAGACTGCATTAGGCAAAGAAATCAGAACCTGGTTCTTTGAAAATAGCTTCTGAGCTTTCACAGAGTCTGACTGAATACGTGGGTGCACATTTTCCTACGATGTGTATGCATTATCATTCCCTAGTAAAGCTGAATTAAAATGAAGACTGCTTTGTGCCTGCAGAAGGCTGGTGTTTTTAATGACTGCTCCATGTACCGTGCACACTTCCAATGAAATTGAAGTGCTGAGGGCAGAGGAAAGGCAGCAGCTACCTACCGACAGGATATTCTTCATTGTGATCACAAAGACGTTGTAGGCAATCAGCCAGTCCCAGTAGCGCAGAATGCTCCTGATGGGCTTCAGCAGCAGATCTCCACCAAAGAGAAGGAAATAAAAGCAGGCCACCAAGTAGCCCATACAGAATATGCTGATCCTTGTGGTTCCCGTTATGAAGATTATAGTGAGTACAAACCAGAAGAGGTAACTAAATATTATCACCTTATACATGTCTAAGTAGGACCTGGAAGTAAAAGAAGGAGAAAAAATTACCATTTTTTCCTGAAGGCAGTGCTACCTTTCCTCTTTCTGCACTACTGGCTGACACTTGTGCCTAAGGTCTGCTGGGTCTTCTCGTCCTACTTCCACATTTGTGCACCTGCTCACAACTAACAGTGTGGTCAGTGGGTTTAGTTCATGGATAGGTCTGCCTGGCTCATATACTCCATTCTGGCTCACTCTTGTGCGTAAGCACCTTGCTACTGATCTTGCCCTGGTCAGGGTACTTTGCATCATGCAGGACAGGATCAAGCTTTGGATCATAAAAGGGGGGAACAAATGTTCCTACCAAACTTCATAATAGAGCAGTATTATCTGGCAATGCTATATAGGCAATTAAAAAAGTTTTCTGAGATCATCTTTTAAGAAGTCTGAGAAATACTATAGCGAATCTATTTTAAAAAGTCAGCTACAGTTACCACTGCAAACAATTCCGTATTTATTGGTGACTTCTAGGGAATTCAGCCTGGTTAAAAGCCCAGTTTTCAAAGACAGCTGCTAAAAATATCTGCCTTTAATGGAGATCAACTGCAAAAGTTTTGAGGGGTAAAAGGTTTGTAAAGAACGGAAATGTGATAGAATTTACTGAAACATTTGCCAGGAAGCTATGAGACAGAGTTATCTGAAATCAGCCTGGCTCACACTGGGAAAGAGTGAGAAACAATTTGGTGTTTTAGATTCCTTAAAATCTTGACTTAATGTTGACTCAGTGAGCTTTCAAATAAGAATCTCTGCCAAAGGCAATACCAAATACGACATATAGCTAAACACTGTAAAACCAACTAATTCTTAGTCCCCTCCTTCTATTTACAGTGTTTTGATTCTGAATGTAAATGAGTTTTCAAAGTCCTTTCACCCAGGCTGTGAAATTAGATTTGTAAGGAAATCAGGCAGGGAGAGAGCCCGACAGGAGGACACATATACCTAAGCCAAACCATCGAAGGAGTAATTCAACTAAACGCACTGTATGAAGCCACATAAAAAGGCCCCTGTTGCTCAGTGTTCTCAGGCTCAGAACTTTCTAGGAGTATGTCTTTATAGTCCTACATTTATAGGCCTGTATTACACATTTCACTGGAGAAGCATTCAATGAAAAGTAACAAGAAAGTTCCCTTATGTTTTTTTCCCCACAAATATTTAAGATATTTATGATCTACTGCCTGTAGATCTAAAATCTACATCTAAAAATGTCATGGTTTCAGAGATGCTACCAGATTCTGGGTGATAAAACATTAAAAAAAAATCAATATGCACTGGGAAAATAAAGATATGGAAGACATCAGTTGAAGAGCTCTTCACTAACATAATATGTACTGGAAATGTTGCTATCACTGTTTCTGCATAAAATAATATTCTGTTTTCCAACATAATATTTGATATTTTTTTAATATTGATGTTTTATGAATATGTAGGATGGCAAGGAAAAGATCACCCTCCTGACACTGCTGTAATATTTCAAAAATCATGTTCTCTGCTAAAAAGAAAATAAATCAGCATCTTTTGAGAAAAGCCCAAAATGGAACTGAATTGATCAAACAAACAGCAATATCTTAATACTCTTCAATAATAAAGGACTCTAACTCTTAAAAACAACCGAAACTGTCTGAATCCAAACTTTCCAGGATACACACATGGCATTTGCTTGAGTCGAAGTCAACAGAAGATATTGCTCTCAGATTAAAACTTCCAGAAATTAGAGAGAATGTGAAGAGGAAGATAATGACATAGCTACTTTTTCACTATAATGTTAATCATAGGCTATATTTAGCAGTCATCTAAAATAATAAATACATCTGCTCTTATCTTCAAAATATACATTAAATATAATAAATATAATAAATATAATAAATATAATAAATGTAATAAATATAATAGCATTAGTCATCTCTAAACCAACCAAACAACAAAACTGGATGCAAAGAAAAACTTCTGAAAAGGCAGGAGGCAATACAACTGTGTCAAGTGACAAATGATGTAGTTCTTAAAGATGGAAAGCATTCTGATTTTTATTACTATGCAGTTACAAGCAAGTCCAACAATAAAAATGGCTTGTTTATACTGATATGAGTAGGTCAAGTACTGCAAGAGCAGGAATGAAGAGGTCTTGGTGGGGGAATTCCCAACACATTGTCTCACAAATCACTCGAAACTTTCTCATACGAAAATCTTTAAACTCTGCCTCAAAGCCCAGAAAGTTAGGAAGTTAGGAGCTTCAGTTCCAGTTCTTTGCTCTGGAGATTGTAATACAACAGTGGGAGCCTGAAGCACAAAGCCACTCCAAGAGTTAAAAGACCCCACACAATCCCATCAGGACAGTAAGGGATGTTCTCTTTGAAAAATTCTACATAGACAGCAGAAAACACTTAGTCTTGGATGGCATATACTATGATTTTATGCTTTTGCTGCAGACCACACAGATCATTATTTCAATATCATGCAAATCTTCCAAACCTCATCTTCTAAGTGGTCTTTAAATCTCCATTTAGTCATCAGCAGGAAAGGCCACACTCAGGATGTGGTATTTAACAATACCTGAGCAGCTGCTTCCCAAGGGAACAATCCCACTCCCCTTCATCCTCTCAGCTCTGCATTCCAGCCCTTTCTTTAGCTTTGAATCTTTGAAACTGTTTCAAGAAGAAAACTTGCAAAAGCCTATTTATTTTTTGGGGTAGGCCAGAGAAAAGGGATACTTTTCTCCCTATTCAGCCTCGGTATCAACTAAGTGCTGGTGTGATGAACACAAAGATGGGAGAGTGTAGTTGGAGGCCAGGAATAGAGACATGCATCTGAGGAAGATTAGCCACTACATCAGCACACCAAGGGAATAAATCTATGGTTTTTGGTAGCATGACAACTTCTGAATGAGAAATTTTACAGAAGAGACCTGAAATATTAATGAAAAAAAAAAAAAAAAAAACACCACTGATTTTCCATCTGTGTCATTAGCAGAACCCAGTAATACTCTGGATAAAATTTTGGAAAAACTTGCAATATCACTTTGCTCAAAACCAAGGAAGACAAAGTATGAAATTAATTCCACACATCCATCAAAGCTATTGTAACTCAGATGGCTCTCCGTATCAAATTATCTGCTTCTATTTTCTAAGGCTTTATTACTCTTATCATGATTGTTTCAATATTTTATTTCCACAGGAATTAATTTTTAACTGTAATACAATCCATCCACTTGCAAAAGGATTGCTCTAGGCATAGTTGTTTTTCCCGGCATGCTTCATGATGTGCTTGGCCATGACCAGTCTAGTGTCTGGACCTCTGCCTGCAGGCACGAAGAGATGCTGATGATGCGGCTGATAAACTCCTGTGAGGAAAGGAGTTTGTCCTCTACCACCGCTTTGAAGTTTAGGGAGAGAAACACTTCTGCTCACACACTACTGAGAGCCTGTTGAGCTGTTGTGCTGACAGATAAAGCTCAATGCCTCTTCATCCTCGAGGAGCTGCAGTTATGCAGCTTCCTTGTTTTCCCTTGTTGGTCACCTGCTTTGTTCTAAGTGTGTCTACCCACCGTCATATGACCCCAAGGCTCCTCCCAGAGACCTCTTCTGATGACTACTCCCTTCCTCTCCTGCAGGTGTATTATCACCATATATTTGCATTCTGTAAGCTATATCTACTCCCCACATTCCTTTTTTTCTTTCTGCCCTTCCATATCTCCTATTCCTGACACACTAGCAGCCTGTGTGACCCTGCATCAGAGTCTGTTTCCCCTTCTAATCTCAACCTTGCTAATTTCTCACCAAGCTTCCGTCCTCAAAGCCTTTCCCTGTAGCTCTGTTTCAGCTTTCAGAAGACAGTTTAATTGATTTTCCATCTGCCAATATCAACACTCTATCTTCTGAAAACTAGCTCCGTTATTGCAATGAACTTCTTCAAATCTAGTGTTATAGATCCCATAGGTTTTAGTTCCTAATATTTTTGTCAAGCCCTCTCCAAGGACTGATAATCTTCTACTATCACTTTCTTAGCAGCGAAGTCCTTCCTTCATGCTTGTATTCACTTTAAAAATTCATAAACTGAAGATATGTTAATTATTGAGTCTCATTTTATTAGAAACAAAATCTTTATTTGCTTTAAATAAAAAATATGACAGAAAGCCATATAATGTCATGTAATGTTCATTTGCAGATTCTACCTCACTAACCTAAGCTAGAAGACAGTTCCAAGACTGGCATTACACCTGCCTTTCAGAGACTTAACCTGACTCACCTGGTGATGGTGCAGGTATTAAAGGGGACAGTTCAATGACTGTTTCTGCTTTTAAGTTTAAAAAAGTATATTACAATCCCAAGCTTTTTTTCCCCTGACAATGTCTAGGAGAATGACTGAAAACTTGGGAATTGAAATGAGAATTTTCCAGCATTAAAGACTGTGGGAAAGGATTATCGTCAATGAAGTTGCTTTAAATCCTGCATCATTCTAAAAGCTCCTACTTTCTATTCTTTGTTCTTGTTTCTGTTTCAAAGTCCTTTGGATATGCACTCTCCTGGGGTCAAGCACATATCCCCTGAGAAATCTGTGGGTGGAAAGACTAGAAAATTTCAGGAAATCTCTTTCTTAGACTGTATTTATCATTGTTGAACTCAAGCATTTCTCCAGAGAGAAGAAAATTAAGCATTTGGAAATATGTTCTTTTGCCGCCACTGTTTATATTGCAGTTAAAAGCTTTTTATCCATGCCTACTAGAACAGTGACCAGCTAGTATCTTCTCAAGGGAAGTGGTACTTCAGAAAGGGTGCTTTGGTCTGCAACTGCTACTCTTTTACACAGTAAATACACATCAGGCTTCTCAGAAAACACGGCATACTAAGCACAACTTATTTTTTTTTTTTATGCTTTGTAATTTATTCATAGCCAGATTGTCTTCACTGATTTGTTTGGCTCTTTATGACTGACTTTTGAAGAGATGCCATTACTAATTCCACTTGTTTGGATAAGGTTTGAATCAAGTTCTTATCCATGTTACCAAATATTTAGACCTTTCTGAAGCTTCTATAGAAAAGCACATGAAATGTTCTTAGACAAAGCTCTTTCAGTTCCAAATTGTCTTGGATGGAGGCCACATACATACATACATTTTCTTTTGAGGTAGATCTTTGGTGGATTAACCAGAGCTTGAGGGTCCTTCTTTTTAAAGTTTTATAACTTCTAATAAAAGATTCAGTCACCTTGAGATGCTGTCAGCCATTCTCTGGGGATTCTTTGAAGCAAATTAGGCATTTAGGATTGCCTATGTGCAATCTCTCAAAAAACCCCATAATCTAAAGCCTGGGAAAATCTGCATTGTTGTGAAAGCATCGAAAGACATACTTTGGGGCTAAAAGAAAGGTAAGAACACGAGAACACAAAATCTATTATGCGGTTCATACCAAAGGAAGGTCTGTTTATACCTAGAGACACCATTCTTTAAGTATGTTCCCATTATAGATTCATGAAGCTACACTACAAACAAACAAACAAACAAACAAACAAACAAAGAGAAGTTGTAGCTTAAAAAGGGGTGAAAGGAAGACATGAGGAACCACAGACCAGTGAGCCTTACCTTTGTGCTTGGGAAGATCATGGAGCAGATCTTCATGGAAGCAACGTTAAGACATGCAAGACTAGAAGGTGATCCCAGACACCCACCATGGCTTCTCTAAGGGAAAATCGTGCATTTCTACGGTGAATTTCTATGATGGAGTGACTGTAACACTCAATAAGGTCATCAAATTGACAGATGTCATCTACCTGGACTTCTATAAAGCCTTCAAGATGATCCTATGTGACATCCTTATCTCTCTAAATTGAAGACATGGATTCGAAGGGTAGATTATTCAGTGGATAGGCAATTGGCTGGTTGGATGCAGCCAGAGAGTTGTGGTCAATGGCTCTATGTACAGACGAAGGCTGGTGACGAGTGGTGTCCCTCAGAGCTCTTTCTGGAGACTAGTGCACTTTAATATCTTCACCACTGACACAGACAGTGAGATAGAGTGCACCCTCAGCAAAACTGCAGATGACACCAAGCTGAGTCGTGCAGTTGACATAACAGAAGGAGCAGATGCCATCCAGAGGGTCCTGGACAAATATGAGAAGTGAGCCCAGGAGAACCTCATGAAGTTCAACAAGACAAAGTGCAAAGTGCTGCACCTGAGTAGAGCGCAGCACTACTGCAATCCCACACGTGAGTAGAGACTAGGAGAGGAACTCTCACTGAGAGCAGCTCTGACGAGAAGGACTTGGGGGTTCTTGTGGATGAAAAGCTGGACGTGATCCAACAGCATGCACTCACAGACCAGAAAGCCAACTGCATTCTGGCCTGGGCTGCATCAAAAGAGGTCGAGGGAGATGATTCTAACTATCTACTCTGCCCCTGTGAGACCCCACCTGGAGTGTTACGTCCAGGTCTGGAGTCCTCAGAACAAGAAAGACATGGACCTGTTATAGTGAGTCCAGAGGAGGTCCACGAAGATGATCAGAAGGATGAAGCAACTCTTCCATGAGAAAAGGCTGAGAGTTGGGGTTGTTCAGCCTGGAGAACAGAAGGCTCTGGTGAGACCTAATAGTGGTCTTCTAGTAATGAAAGGCGTCCTACCAAAAAAAAGGGAGAGCAAGTTTTTACACAGACATGTAGTGATAAGACAAGGGAAAGAGTTTTAAACTAGGAGAGGAGAGATTTAGATTAGATGTTAGAGGGAAATTCTTTACTTAGAGGGTAATGAGGCACTGAAACAAGTTTCTCAGAGAAGTAGTGGATGCCCCATTCCTGAAAGTGTTCAAGACCGAGATGAATGGAGCTTTGAGCACCCTGGTCTAGTGGAAGGTATCCCTGCCCACTGCAGGGGAGTTGGAACTGGATGATCTTTAAGGTCCCTTCCATTCCAGTGCAAACCAGTCTACGATTCTATGATTACCTGCTCAAGCATCTGCAAGAAAGGATATCATAAAAAGGAATTTCCTTTGCTCCTGAATGGGTTAATCAATGTTTTTTCTATTCATTCCTGATTGATTTTTTAAACAAAAATGTCCCTGTTCTTTTTCTTTCTCTGCTTTGTTCTTTTCATTCTACTTCTTACTCATGCAACATAAAACTATCATGTGAAATGGTCACACAGATTTCTGCATTTATCTGGAACAGTTATAAAGTGATCATGGTTTATTTGTTCAGCTCACCACCACTAATGGATCCTTTGATTTTCACTTCTTTTGTACTCTCGGCCAGCAATATTACTTACTGCTTACTACACATTGCAAACTCTCAATTAAATGGTTGTGTTTGTTAATCACCTCTGTGATTAACAGATCTCCTTGGTCAGCACATGCCCAGCAGGGTGTCTGAATGGATGGTCTGTCTCCAATGGCTTCAAGCTGATGCATACCATGCATATGAACCAAAATACAGGACTTAACCCCAAGGATGTGTGGAGGGACAACAGGCCAGTTCAGCTTGAACTTTCCTGTCCACTATAAACCTGACTCTGACTCCCATCCAAAATCTTCAAAGAATATACTCTGTGCTTTAAAGTTTTCATGTTTGTCCATCTACAGATGACCAGAATTACCTGTCAGGTTCCAGAGAACTTTGAAAAGATGCCAAAAGAGGTTGTTTAAAAAGCAGTGATTTTCTTGCTTCTTTTGAGGACAGCTTTAAAACACATTCTCATTATTGAGGAGTTCTTTCACAACAGTTTTTTTCTGGACTAAGGGAGGAAAATTCGATATTTTCTTTCTGCCAGGAATCAGGGATGGTCTTTGCCAGTGACCAAACATGTCAGTGTGCCTGATGAAACTGCTGCAACTTAGTTTTTGGTAAGATGGACACCACTTTCAGTGGCAAGCAAAACCTCAGGTAAAACCCCCTACGTTTCCTCTAACCCGAGCCCTATTTGTCAGATCTCTTTTAGAAAGCATCCCCACTTGATGCAGCATTTTGAAAAAAAGATAAATACTTCTCTCTTTCTGCTTATCTTACCAAATCTGGAGCACTGGGTCCGCTGTGTAGACTGGAAATTCTCAAGAGGGAGAACTGATCAAACTTAGCCCAGTAGTGACTATAAATCTCTGGATGAATGAGTTAATTGACTGTTTCAACAGTCTCCTCTTCAAACTATTTCAAGACAGATTTGGCCACCAATTGTAACAGAAATAGCAGGGTCAGATTAAAGATCTTTAGAGGGGCTTCTGGTGATAGCACTTCTCTGGTAAAAGAAAAAGTTTACCAGCAAAAGGGAGATTTTTCTGGACATTAGTTCTAGACATAATTCCTTTTGCATTCAGGCACATGTTAGCACTCATTCACTTACCAAGTCTGACAAAACACCATAGCTAAGAAATCTTATTCTTCCCATTTATTCTTGTAATACTGCAACAAACGTTCAGTCATAACTGCAACAAAGACCATGGCCAGCATAATTTAAAAAAGCTGAGCTAACCTGTCTTGACCAAAATGATCACATAGGAACAGTTTCATTGTTTGAAGACCATTCAGAACAGACTGCCTCATGCTCTGCCCCTTTATAAATTATTCACCTTCTTCAACAACCTCAGAAAGAGAAAGACATACCAGTTGTCCTTCCAAGACACTTTTAAGGTTCTTATGCCTAGATGAAATAGCACAAAGGACAGTCTCTCATATTAGAGTATTATTTTGATTGTGCTTAGGCAACAACTTGGCAGGACATGACTTCTTGGGATTAAACACATATGTGGGAAGCTGCAAACTATGACGGATTATTGCCAACATGTCTGTGTTCTGCCACCAAAGCACTGAAGTCCACCATAAATGCTGCACCACAAAGCATTCATGGAGGCAAATTCAAATTTGATTACCAAGATTCCTTCTGAAGCGAGAAAGATGGAGGGTTTAGATTCATCTAAAGAGCTGAACCACCTTTCTTGTGACCTAAAGGTGAATATTTCACAATGTGTTGGTTGTCTAAGATAGTGGTGGGACTTGGTGATCTTAAAGGTCTTTTCCAACCTAAACAAGCCTATGATTCTATGAATACAAGCTTTCAAGCAAATTTATCACTGAATGTCCCTCTGGGGAGCACTTAAAACAACCATCTGGTTTAGAAAGACTTGTTTGCATCTACCCTGTTCTAAACCAGTGTCTGGTTACTCAGAGCTGAATTATCTGCTGTCTCATCATACAGTAAAAAGTATGTTATATGGGAACATACGTGAATACAAATTCCAAGTGAAATTGGAAGCTGTGAGAATAACTTTTACACTAGAGAACCTTATGAAAAGGAAGCACTGTATTTTCCTAGTATTTAAGATTCAGTTTTTACCGGCAGTGAATGAAGTCAGGAACAGGATTATGCTGGCTAAAAGATGCCGCATCAAGATTCATGCAAATTTCCACGTTGTCTCCAGCCATGATTCGTACTGCAGCTTTATTTTCATCCTCAAATGTCTGCCTTTGCAAGGATGCACACAGCAGCAACATGAAATCATCTAGGAGAAAGCAGTGATTGCAAGGAAAAATTCAATCATTAACATAGGTATAAGGAGTGGTCATGATACATTATAATGTAGTTACCAGACTGTTTTCCCCCACTTTGAACCTCCAAGACTGTGTTGTTTTCAAGACACGTTATGCTGATTTGAAATTTATTAATGTATTTAGTGGTTTTACCTGTCATTGTCTAGAACTTGAGAAATAAATGAGAAAAAGGGAAATAATTCATACTTTTTGATGTCGCATTATTAAAAATGTGATACAGGAGAAACAGTTGCAGAAATTACTAATTCTTTGAATTTTAGTATTCAGTCTCCCAGAGAATATGTCATCTTGCTACAGAAGATTAAATAACAGGTTGGCTTCAAATTACACTGTACAGACATTTTAATCGAAGGACACATAAACACTTTACAACTAACTGTGCTAAAATACTTACACACAAGGAAGACAGGGTTTGGTCTCACAATGAAGTCTGGAAAATATAACCACTTTATGATGTTGGAGTTGAAGTTGGCATTACCACTTCTCCATGGATAGTCTGTATGACAGAAGCATGTAAAAATGCAATCAGTACTTTATAACAATTACTTAATCCTTTTCATCTGAATACTTTCTAGCCCTCTTATATAAAACCAAGCAGCAGCATTTTTCCATAAAGGTTAAGTGTCCTTACCTTTACAAGGAGCAGGTGGGATGCCAATGCAAAGGAAGTACTGGAACGTAATGATGCATGACAGAAAACAGCAGTATTTTGGCCAGATCTCTGCAATTGCTTTTCTTCTGCGTCGATACAATACAGCAATCAGCCAGAAGGCATGAATCATGGCATAAAAATCCATCCTTTGACCAATTACATTCACTGATAGAAGAAAACAGGTCTGAAAATGAAGTAAATAAACATAAGCAACATTTGCAACCTGATGGCTAGTCAATGCAGCAGTAATGCAGGTATTCTGGATCCTGACAGAATGACTGGACATGTGCTGCATCTGACTGCAGGAACCAACAGTAACATCCTCCACTCCACCCCAACACCCAAATTTTGATACTCTTCTGTCTCTAGAGCAGTTTTCCATTATGTGATATTTAATGATACAGACAGGAAAGAGAGTTGTCAGAGTAGCCAATATGCAAAATGTTTAATTGTTGCCAAGCAAAGCATATAGTACACAGTTATATATTTTGATAGTACTAACAGATGTGGAAAAAGAACAGGAACTATTAAGATTAGCAACAACTAAAATGTATCCTCATGTGGGAAACAGACAAAAGAAAAAGGGATTTAGAACACACAGCTTCTATTGGTGATAGACAAATCCAGTCAATTCCTTTAAGGTAGCTTTAAGTCTCCATTGTTCTAAGGGTTCTGCATTCCAGCATTTCTGTTCTCTGGCTTCACTCAAAGCAGCCCCGTCACTCAGTTCCATGAAATGTGTTTTCAAGTTTAGTGAATACTTCATAGTGAATCATTTATTCAGTGCACTACACTAAATTGATTTTCCCTCCCCTAAGATTACGATGAGCTAAAAATTATTTCCTAAATAGTTTGGGAAATAGCTTGCTGGTTTCTTGTTATTTTCACTCAATCTTCAGACTGGCTGTGAACAGTTTACTCTGTTTATCAGTAGCAAGTGCTGGTAGTGTTTAATAGATCGGTCAAGAGCATCATTATGATTAGAATTAGAATGCATTAGACTGGGAGTTGCCTTCTTCAAATAGCCATAAAAAAAATTGTAAAAAATCACTATTTCTAGGAAGAGTTTTTGAAAGTAAATTTCATGTGTCCATGAAAAAGCAGTCAAGATAAAGGGAACAGAGATGACTAACATGAATGATGACTCAGAAGCACCCAGATCTCAAATACAGTCCAAGCTAGCATTCAAAAATAGCACAGTGAAAAGGTCTGGAATGGTAGTCTAAAGAAAAGTAATATGTAGTGATTTACCTCCAAACCAAATTTGTAGAAGAAGTAGTTTATGAAATACTTGACACAGTTTATCACTCCATCATCCAGATGTGCTCTTGTAATATCATGAAAAATTGTTTTAGTCACAGGTGCAGTAAGGTTATTTCGACATCTGTAGTATTCTTGATGACGGTAGATTGTAACTTCAAAAGCCAGAATAGCCAGCATCAGTAAGTTATTCTATGGGAAACACAATCAGAAGAATAGTAAATGAAAATCAAAACCACATGAAGCTATAAAATTTTCTGATAAGCATAAGCTCATGAATACTCAAACTGATGTTACCACTGAGTATTTCTGCACTCCAGAATGCACTGGCACCTATTCCCAGCTATCACTGAAACAAACTAAGGTTTCTACCACTTCTTCGATTTTAATGAATCATGCAGACATTCAGAAGATACGTATAAAGAAATTAATTAAAAAATATTATAATGAACACTAGTTGTGGAAAAGAAGGGGAGGCAAAAGTCCCTCACTTTAACACTGCAGACATTTTGAATGCTTGCTATTAAAGAGACTTACAGAAACACATCAAGACATGAAGCTTGGGACCTTCAGGTCTGAAAGTGAAATTAATTTCTATATGGACAGAAAACATCTTATTTGCTAACTCAATGCAAATCTTTCTAGAATATTTTCTAAATCCCAAAGTGCTCTCAATTTCTAGCTGTAAAACTCTTGCATCAAGGCAGACACCACCAGGCAACTTCACTCTACGTACAAAACTCTTGGGTCAGTAATTGCACTTCCCCACATATATTTTTAACTGTGGGAGGTGCATGGCTAAAGGAGCAAGAGGCAGAGGCATTGTCAGCACCTGATATGCTGTCCTGCACAGCTTGGCAGGCATTCCCTACACAAACAAAGCACACAGAAGTAAGCTCTAAGGGAAGAGATGACAAATAAGTCTAGTTAAATCAAAACTTGCTGTTGTCCAGTTAGCCAGTTTCTGACAACTTTCTCCAAAATTTTGGAGATTCTCTAAATTAAGAAGAGATATACAAGGTTTTCACCAGGACTTGGAACACTTTCATTTTAAGTAGGGTTTTTTAATCAAGAAAGGAATAATAAAATATTGCTCACAGGCATCAACGAAAAATGAGAAGAAAAACAAAAGACATCAATTTACTAGTGTTTGAATGAATTATTCCCTTAACTTGTTATATTTTCTAAATTGTGGCTAAGGAACAAGCACTTAAAAAAATTAACTGCTTATAGCATACATTATCACTCAAGGCAATTACTCCAATTAGACCCATCAGTCCTTTGGTATCTGAAAGCTGTGTACCTCTTAATTACTTTGAGTTCTTAAATATTACATTTCTTAAAGAGCTTTTAACAGATGGTAGAGTCCAAAAGCCATACTTCTACATGAAAGATTATCTGAATTGGTACTGAATCCTTTCCAGATATATTCTGTATAACAGATATGATTTTGTGTTGCCTCTTTCCTTCTGTACTTCCCTATTATCAATTATTACTTTTTTTGTGTGTGTGTGACAGGTTATTTATTTCAAAGACATTGCTAATACATCGCAAACTAGAAAATATCTGAATATAGATAATTAAAGAAGTTACCCTTAAGTACACAAGAAGGGGATAAGACTTTCTCAATCCAACCCACTCCGCAGGATCAACTGGCCCACTGTAGAGCACTGATGTTTTGAGTTCTTCTAAATCAACCTTAGTTTCATTCTCTCCTGGCTAAAAAAAAAAAAAAAAAAAAATTGCAACAGTTATAAAACATGTTTAAGGTTGCTTGAGGAGGGAATGATAATCAAGAGCAGTCAAACTTTTTTAATATGCACTTGTACTCACCAACGTACAGTTACTGGAAAAAGTTTTGGGATCGATAGATGAGAGCTGATACAACATCTTGCAGACAATAATCACACATGTCCAGACAGTGCAGATACTTGATGCCAGTGGGCGAAACTGAGCATATGGCAAAGCAAGAGCCCAGGCAATCAAAAACACAAAGTTAAACAGAGACACCTGAAAACACAAAAACAGTACAGAAATTACATGGAGTAACAAAAGAACTGAGAAAGTTTGACCTTTTCCACAGTAAATTAAACCAGAATTATTTAAAAGAAAGGGATATGAAGAAACTTTGAGGAAAATACTGAAAAAAAGAGTTACAATACTCAAAGAAACAGTGTGGTAAGTAAAGAGGGAAAAACTTTACCACATACATAATATTAATACTGTTGGACCCACAAAACTCTGTATTCTCCCTGTCAACAGACATGAAGGAAGAAGGAACACATGCAGGTTCTGTTGCTTTAGTACACATAAAACAAAGATGAGATGATACAGATCTGTGTGTCTGTGCTACCGAGCTTTGTCCTCTTACCTTTTCCCCACAAAAATGTGAGAAAATATATATATATATATATTTTTTTTTTTTTGTAGTAAATCCTCTCTGACTAGCCTGTTCAAGGAATGGCTATATCATGTAGTGAACTCACACTGTCCACACCTAAAGCACAGCTAAAAGGGTTGCTCCCTTTTTCTTTAGGTATAGTTCCACATTATTATTTCTTAAGCACCAAAATGAGTTTAAATAATTTTCCTTCATGTACCTTCCCAACCCTTTTCTATACCCTCCATCCCTGGATGGCGCCCACAGGCAGTTTGAGCAGGAGAGGGATTACGTCTCTTACATTTAAAGAATTAGACTAATTAAACTTTCATATATGGATAATAAAACTTCAATATCTGGAGAAAAGCGGAGGACTGAGACTATCTAGACTGAGAGAATATCACCATGGAAGATGTCAAGGCAGGTCCCCAGCATGTGACAAACCCAAATTTCATTGAGGTCTGACAGGAGGAAACCATTTCCCCACATATCAGCAGAGGCTGACAAACCTCCATGATGTGTAAGATTTTGACAGTGGGTGTTTACTTGCCTCTTTCACTGTGACCCAGATGATGTAAGAGGAAACAATTTTGATGATGTGCAGCTCCAACAGCCACCACACGAAGACTTGCATCTTATGAAAATACTCCAGGAATTTCAAAAACAGTACTGTAAGGCGGTCGATCACTAGATGCCACTTGTTCCTTAAGTCTGCAGGGATGTTCAAGTAGAACCATTGTGAGAAGAAAAACAGAAGGTCTCTGTAAAATGGAATACTCCACTAGACAACAACGATCTTTCTGCTTCTTCTCTTCCAAGCTTTAGAGCAAGGCAAGATGGAGGATAAAGGCATGGCCCAGTGGTTAGCTAAGACAAAACAGGGTTGAGGCCTACATAGCTGTGGTGCTTTCCTTTCTGACACACTTTCACTGGAAGGATTCCACACTTCAAAAGCAGCAGTGGTGGCCCTCCTTGCCAATTTTGCTTTTATTCCTCTCTACGAGAGCTCTTGGACTCTGCTGTCCTCCAGTATCTTTGGACCTAAGCTTAGAGATCTCATTCAGGAATTAATTCCAGCCCTAGTCCTTATCCAACTCAGAAAAATACCATTGTTTTTTTTGGATGCTTGGAAGCTATGGACCCAGCCTGTTTTCAGAAAGCATAGACTACTACTATTTAGAAAGCTTTTCAGCCAGCTTGGAAGAGATCCATACACAGTAGGATTAGGATTCTTGTCATGTGTGTTCAGACAACTGTACAATAGATAGTTATCTAAAATGCCTTGAAAACAGCACTGCCTCTTAGAGCGTGATCTGTTCCATCACAGGACAGATATCTAAAACAAGCAAGGCAATCTGCAGTCAATCGAATATTTCTCTCAGTTGAAAATGTTTATCAAGTGAAGATCCTGAACTTGGGTAAAGGTATCCCTTCATAGGGGTGCTTTGTTAAAAAAGGTATCCTACCAAATACTACCCCAGTGAGCAAGCATGTGGCAATGCCTATTACATGTGAATGTACATGACAATACATGTGCTGAGCAGTGCTCTCTAAGTGTCGACTTTGCTTGTGGGCTGGTTACAAAACTGTTTCACCAGGCTGGCATATATTAGTATAAAGTCTTCACACTGTATTAGGGGCTTCAGGAGCACTCTGGAGATTAAGAAGGATTTTGCGTGCTGTGAGTACATTCTTACAGTTACTGTTAGAGATGGAAAAATTTGCAAGTGATATCAAAATTTATCGTTGTCTAGGCTGGTAAAACTGCAAAGGAGTTAACACCATCTATATGCAATTATTTCTACTTATCACATTATTTTATATATAAAGCAAACCAAGCTGGTTATTCTGTTCATATTTGTGTGAAGAACATATGCACATTTGTGTGGAGAAGTAGACTTTTGGAATACCTCCCGACTAAAGTCCGTGCTTTTTTCTTCTATTTTTTTTTCTCCAAGCACAACCAAGAAAATTCTAATAAAAATGTTGTGATGTAAATTCCATGAGTACATAATTAAACTTGAGAAATTAATTAAGTTACAGAATCTCTAATCCTACATATGTTTTTACAAGTACAATGAGTGTATTCAAGGAAAGTCTTTACAAAATTAGGTGTTCTCACTCATTCTTTTATTGCATTTATTTCCACTTGCAGTGTTGCATCATGTGAAGTATATCCAGACAGTGGCAGTTAAGTGGAGCAGGCAGATAAGGTGCTCTAGTGGGCTCTGTCTAGCATGTCCAGGCAATACACACAGAGGAAATAAAATACAGGCCTTGAATGCATCCACTGAAAGACTGTACAACATTGTGTAATGAAGTCTGCACTTGTGAACATGTTTAATGACAAAGCTCCAGCCACATGGCTACATAAAAATGATACAACTCTTAGGCAGAAATAAATGCATGTGCAGCTTAAGGATGGATCACATACGGCAAGCTAATACATACGGCAGCCCCTTTTGCTATTTCCAAGCCCCACTGGCTGCAGCTCCCCACTACCCTGCTTACAAGTGTAATGCACAGAATAACCTCCACCAGCTAGCCTCTGTTCCAAAGCCCTTCCAGCATGCTGGGGTGGATAGAGTGCAACAAACTCATCACCCCTCATAAACCACATGAATCCTGGTCTAGAAAGGTTTGCATGGCCCATGAACACCTCTCTGAGGGTAGATATTCCAGCAAGGAAAGGTAAGTAGTTTCAGCTCAGCTTCAAGCACTGGAACAGGCTGCCCAAGGAAGTGGTGGAATAACCATCCCTGAAGGTATTTAGAAGATATATGGATGTGGCACCTAAAGACATGGTTTAGTGGTGGACTTGGCAGTGCTGGGTTAACGGTTGGACTCAATGATTTTAAGAGGTCTTTTCCAATCCAAATGACTCTATGATTCCCTGGGGTAGCTAAGCCAGATGCACTGTCGTTTTGCCTTGCCCCTACTTATGTGTCGCAGTCCCATGAATATTGGCATGAGTAACTATATTTGGAAATGAGTAACTAAATGGAAGGCCACTTCCAAAGAATACACCATCCTTGGGTGTTAAATGCCCTTCCCTGGTTTCACTTTTGGATCATATTACAAACTGAGTTATGGAAATCATGCTAGGGGTTCATCCTAGCAATATCAAGGATGACAATATAAGCGTTACCCATGTCTGCCCCTAAGCTTTTTTATGTGCTTTTCGTGTCAATTACACATCCTATATTCAGAAGTGAAAAATATGACACTAATGTGCACATAAATAATGAAGCAAAGCCATTTGGACTTCTGGAGAGGAGTGCCTTGAAAGCATGCAGAGATATTAAATATCCATGTGCATTTTCTTCATTGTAAGGAGATTTCACTCAAAAGGAGTTCTTAGTATTTGGGGTAGCCTCCAAATAATTCAAACCAGACCACCTAGAAGAGGCATGGCTTCTCTTGTTTTCTTTCTCTCAGCAATCTACAGAACATGTGGGAGAGCCTGTAGTATGTTGAATAATTGACAAGTAGCCATCTGCTCAGTGAACTTAAGGCTCTTTGACATAGACTGCATGTAAAATTAGGAGGAAAATGTGATAATTGAAGTTAACAGGGATGACCAAGAACAAACCCCCTGTAGCCAAAGCACCTGTTGCCACTGTTAATTAAGGCTAAAGAAGGTAAAATTTGCATTCTGCAGAGCTTACCTGTAGTTTCTTCTTCCTCTGATTCATTATATTCATCATCAGAATCATCTTCCATGTCCTCATCTTCCTTTTCTTCTTTTACTTTTTTGATTCTCCCTTTCCCTCCCTCCCCTTCTGGCTCTTCCATTCTTTTCTCACCAGCATCTTCTAGCATTTTATCCTCTTCCTTTTCTCTGCTGGTTGTTAAATTAATCATAGTTATGTCAGGTAGGCTTCCATCTTGGTGCACCAGTCTGTTGGTAAAAGTAGCATGTCAGCAAACTGAGGAGTAATGACATTGTAGTCTTTTTCTTTTTCAAACTGTATAATTAGAAAAAACTGAACTGTTCATGGAAAATGCCTTAAAAGTGGAAAAGTTAATGATTTTGGTACTCTCTCCAAACACACACTGAAAATTGAGTTGGAATGTATTAGTAACTACTTCTCACTCAGATACTAATGGTTAGTTAGTAATGAGTGGTATTGACACTTAAACTTGACATTTTCCCCACTGGAGAAAATGGTCAGAGTTTAAGATGTAGAAGCATGAAATGACATTATTTAAAAGGAAACATTTCATGACTTCATAGGGGACTTACTCATTTTGGTGGTTTGGTATTTTTTTCTTGAGGCTGCTCAAAGTAATTGGAACAGAAAGAAAAAGGGAGATGAGAACAGAGGGGTTACAGAAGAAGGTCATTGACAAATATGTCATGCTATATCACAAGTCATAAAGCATTCTCCTACTCCATCTGCAGAAGCCTTCTGATGCCAAGAGCATGCCGTCATGACATTCACAGGGTGCTTCTAGAAAGAAACGTGGATTTGCAGCACAGATGGAAAGGGGACAGCCTATTTACACCAGTGCTAAACGTGGTCAGTGCTTCTACCATGCTGTGTATAATGCAGCTGAACCATCACAAGTATCTGACCTATCACTGTAAATGCATTTCCACCTTCTTCCAATTGAAAGATGCAGCTGGCAAGCCAAGGAACTTGCAAATTTTCTTCCAGCTACAGGTTTGAGAACAAACAAAAGCAAAAATTCCATGGCTGCACCTTCAGAATATTTTATCATCTCTGTCTTTGATAGTGCCATTCATTCTCTCTCTTTTTTTGCTATATCTCACAGAGAATTTTTTTTTCATACTAACTTTCTCTAGCTTATCTATTAGTAAGTTTCAGACTACCAAAATTGGGATACAACTCACTTAACAAGGAAACAGCATTTCTCTAATGCCACCGTACCATTTTCCCCCCACCCCGAGATTCATTCAGTATATATCTTTACTGAGAAAAGAGATATTTTCTTACAGTTTCAGATATTTTAATTTTTTCTACTGCAGCTGTTCTATTGGGACTCCTGTCCCCTACTTCCAAAAAAACAAGTTTTCCGAATTCCTTGATTATGTGTGCTTTACTGAGCATACTGCCATAAAGAGTCCCTATGAAGACAACTTCTTGCAATGAAGTCTCCCTTTGGGAAGTGTATATCTATATGATTACACCACTAAATGCTTACTTATGCTACTGAAATTACTACACTCAGCATATTTTCAAGCACCTGCAAAAGAGTTCTAATATGCTAAAATACCATATGATGTGAAATTCTGGACGATAACCATTCAGACAGGAAATTCTGCTGATTTTACCTAGGATTTTTGCAGTTTAAGAAACTAACAATCTAAATTTTTCCTTCTGGTCATTAAAAATTTCGAGCAACTTTCTCAGCCTGTATTCATAGAGGAGGCATTCCAGTCCTCTTATCAACTTTGTGGCCCTCTTCTAGACCTGCTCCAACAGTTCCATGTCCTTCTTATGTTGGGGGCACCAGAGCTGAACACAGTGCTACAGGGTCTCATAGGAACAGAGCAGAGCAGGACAATCACCTCCTTTGACCTGCTGGCCACACTCCTGTTGATGTAGCCCAGGATTTGGTTGGTTTTTTGGGCTGTGAGAGCGCACTACTTGATCATGGTGATTTGTTTATCAATCATCACCCTCAAGACTTTATCTGCAGGGATGCCCTCAATCACTTCTTGGTCCAGCCCGTGGGTGTGCCTGCACTTGCCATGACCCAGGTGCAGAGCCTTGCACTTTGCTTTTTGAATCTCATGCGGTTTGGATTGCTCCACCTTTCAAGCACATCAAGGTTCCTCTGGATGCCATCCCTTCCCTCCAACAAGTCAGCTGCATCACACAGCCCTGCTCTCATCAGGCTTGCTGAAGGTGAACTCAGTCTCACTGTTCATGTCACCAACAAACACGTTGAACAATATCAGCCCCAGTATTGACTCCTAAGAGACACCGTTCATCACTGGTCTCCATAGGGACAATGAGCTGCTGACCACACTCTTTGAGTGCACCCATCCAGCTTGTTCTTTATCCACTTGGTCCATCCATCAAATCCATATCTCTCAGAGACAAGGATATCATGCTTTACATAAGTTCAGGTAGATGACATCAGTTGTTCTGCCCCTATCCACCAATGCTGTAGCACTATCATAGAAGGTCATCAAATCTACCAGATATAATTTGCCTGTATTAAAGCCTTTTTGGCTGTTGCCAATAATCTCTTTTGGGGCTTTTCATTTATTTTCACATTTAAGCTAGCATATATACTGAAAGGATATTCCAATCTCTGTAAGGTGACTACACATTAATATTCCCTAAAATGACATAAACTGACTTATATTTACCTAAATCTCTAATAAAGTATCAATAGGATATTAAGAAGAGAGAATGAATTTTCAGTTCAGTTCAAATGTTATGGAGATCCCTGGTTACTATAAACCATCAGAGCCCATTTAAAAGGCAACGCACCATGAAATGAAAAAAACCATAATCAGATAGGTTTTGCATACACGTAATTGCATTGATTTCTATCGGGTATCTTCCCAACTGACTTTTATAATGGAAAAAATCTACATTTACACTGGTGTAAATCAAGGACTTACTGACTTACCTCAGTGTAAATTGGACAGAAACATAATAATGGTATAGGATTTTGTATCTTTCTCTTATTCATATAATTCCTATTCATATGCCAGAGACCCAGGAGGTGATGGGATTATGAAGTATTTCATGCAACTTTCAGGGGATTTGCTGCCTGAATCCAAGCTGTGTTGGGGTATGTGGACAGACTAAGAAGACCCTCCTTTCATTGGTAGCTGCTTCCATGCTGAGGCACCCCTCTATTGTGACTGCATTGAAACCGTGTCTGCTCCTGCTCCCGTGCCTCCCCAGCCCCAAGCCTGACGGGCAGGCTGACACCCTGCCTTCACTCCAAATCTGACTTATCTCTATGGAATCACTGAGACCTCAACAGATTGTGGCTGACTCTTGTTGCCAACTCTGGATGTGAATCTCACCCTCAGCTGCTGGTTCATGTTCCTGACTCCTCATGGGTGAGAGCCCAGCCTTGCCTCCTGGCCATGCCCCTTGGCTCCCAGCTTGCCTGCCCTCGCCGTGGCGATTAGCCTCACTTAAATACAGGCTTCCTACAGACCAGATTTCCAGCTCTGGTGAACTTTTAAAAACCTTGATCCAAACTACATGATGACATTTGAAGAAGGAGGATGAATATGACACATAAATTAACTTCTTGTTAGAGCAGGTAGTCACAAGTGTCTAAACAAGGGACTTCCTTGGCTTTCCTGTTTATATTTCAGTAGTGACAACAAACACGGAAGTCCTTCTATTCTTGGAGATGATTAAATAAAAGCCTGCAATTATTCCAGTCAAATATTTTGAAAGAAGTCTAGTTTATGGAACTGTTCTGAAGATGTAATTTTTAAAGGGTTGACAGCGCTATGGATTTTTCTGCCTTGGATCCTGCAGCACCAAACTCAGCCCATGAATTAACAGCCTTAGCATGCAGTGGTTTCAATGTTCCATTTCTGCTTCTGGAATTTCATTCTGTACAGACCCATAATGCATACCACATATTTAATTGACCTGGCCCTTAAATTCCCTTTATGTGCTTGTGAAGAAGACAGGGATGTGTGTCCGTGTGTCCGTGTGTACATATGCACATGCAGGCATGCATCTTTCCATGCACAAACAAAGGGTAGATAAACGAGCCTCCTCAACCAAGTCTACTGTCTGCAGCCAATTACAAATAGCACCAATTATTCCTGTATTGAGGCATGGGCAAAGTTTAGGAGAATTCCCAGCTGAGAAAAGAAACTCACAACTTATAAATATGCAGGAGAGATATATCAACTGCTTCACCAGCTTAAGGAAATTACAATACCTGAACAACGTTATCTCCCTGCTTACTTCCCAGTACTGCACAGCAGGAACATAGTTTGTTTTAAGGCAATTAAGAAGTAACAAAAAATTTAAGGTATATCTGTTTTAAAGGAAAGGAAGAATTGAAGTACCCACCTATTAATTATTAGATATACACGGCCATTGACTTTGGCATGGCTATGAGGTGGGAGATGAAAGAACAAGATGAAAATGGGGAATGAATTAGAGAGAGAAAAGAAAACTGTTAAATTGGAATGAATGCACTTTCTTGTCTACCAGTGTGTTATGACGCATTGCCATAACAAAGCACAATCTGAAAGCTTAACATACTCCATGCAGTAAAAAGTCTAGAAAGCTTATAAATGCAACTCTAAGACATTTAGATGGTATGCAACTTCAGTCAGAACTACAGGTAATTTTCATAGTCCACAAAATGTGAGAACAGCCTTTACTGCTTTACTTCAAGTAAGCCTTAGAATGTCCACATTTTTTAAAATATCTTTTTTCTTTTTCTTTTTTTTTTTTTAATGAAATTATTTAAAGGTAATTATGGCAGAGCATAATATCATAGAAAATATCTTCTTCAGACTTTATCTCTACCATATCATGATTCATGGTGCAGCAAGGAAACGGCACTGAAAACTCCTAGTCTGGATTTTTCTTTTTCTTGCAGATCTAAAACTGAGACATTCAGTTCTGACACCTTTATTAATAGTGAGAAGTACCTCACTCTGCCAGTGCCATCTATTTGCAGCAGGCAGTGCCTTACTCTGGAACTCACTCTGCAAACTTTACTCATGTGAAGCAGTATTTTAATAAATGAACATTCTCAGCAATTTTAATGGGACTCATAATCACACATGGCAATTCAGGGGCAGAGGTAGGAACTGCACCTGCATTCTTTACTACTATCATGACCAGCTCTCACCTCCTGTGATTCTTTAAAGAAGCTCACTATTAAAAGGACTGAGTTCTGTCTTCTTACTGAAAATTAACGCTCAGTTGCTTTATCTAAAATTTTTTGGTGCAAAAGATGCAGCATAAAAGCAGTTTAGGAAAGTAAACCAGTTGTTAAGTGAATGCTAGTGTCTTCAAAGCAAAAGGGAAAGTTAAGTTTTAGCAGCTTGGTAAGAAAATGACACATATATGTGAATCTTTAATCTGTGTTTTAATTGCCCCTGCAATTTATTTTTATTGCTAGCATTAATGTTAAGCTGAAGTTGGTTGTTGTATTAGTTCTTATCCAGCTTTATGCATCATCAGTACAAATGCCAGCTGAGCTCTCATTGGGAAGCTTTGAACTACAAAGTCGGATGATGCTCAGTACGGATGTATTGCACCAAGGGAAGAAAACAACTGGATCTTCATATGTCAGGCAGTGTCAATAGCAGTCCAAACCATAAAAATTGTTGTGATTTGGATATTGGACATAATCGTTAAAGTTTCTCAGGAGAAACAAATTATATATGTGATTTTTGTGATTTTGAAATGCTGCAAAATGCCAAATGTAGCATATATTCCACATTTATCAGTTAAAAATATACAGCTACATATCTGACAGATTAATACAATCTAGTACACATTTAGACTTTAAAAAACAGTTTTCTAATAGCAAGAAAAAAGCTAATGATATCACATGCTCCTCTTTGTTACTGCAATTAAAAGTCTGATGCGACAGTAAATGTTTACTTTCACATGGTATCTCAAGGCTATTCATGCCTGGCAAAAATACATTTAAATACATTTAAATACATAAATACATTTAAAACATTTTGTGCCTTTGCTATCAGTGGTTCTATCCTTTGCGAATGATGGGACTTTGGTCACAGTATCCTCTTCACACCAGCATTTGGAAAACTGTATAATATTTTGGTATCTTTCATGTATAATAGAAAGAACCCATCAAAATCCTACGAGTGCTTTGTTTTGATTTTTTTTTTTTTTTTTTTAAATTTTGTGCCTATTGGATCACACTACAAGGGAGGTGGAAACTGTTTCTACGTTAGCACAGGCGCAAACTGTTTGAGCTACAAGAGAGCTTGCACAGTTACTGCAAACTGTAAAGTGTTTCCCCCAAATGTCTCAGCCCAGGAACAACCCCATTTCAGCTCAGACGCTTATCTGGGCTTTGGTTTCAGGGCTTGGCCAATTCAGAGATGTTAACATGTATCTGCTGCTGCACAAGAAGTCTGACATTGGCAAGGAAAGTTTGCTCAAAGGCGATTACAAAAGGGCGCTTGAATAAATTATCAAATTTAGTAATTCAAGAAAAGCAAACCAAGAGATATTATGCAAACAGCCGTTTAAAAAAGTAAGTTGAAAAAACCCACAAATTTATTTGAAAATTTTGTCAAGTTTGATTTGTTCTGCTTTTAGCAATTATTTAAATACAAAACCTGGAAGCATTCTATAGAAGTAGAGCTTATGCCCATGGCACAAACAAACTTGCACCACACACTGTAAAGCAACTTTATATCAAATTGAATGCATGAAAAATATCTGAAATGCTTTAGTAAATCTTGAAAAACAAAGAACATAATTATCTGTTAAGATAAACGATCGCTATTCCACAATACTCTGTGGTGTATGTGAAATTATGCAGCTACCCCCCACTCACAGTAGTGCAGCTGAGATACACTTATCATTGGACAGGTAAAAATTCTAAAAGTAGCATCTAAATGAATTGCTTTCTTCAAGGAATGACCATAATTGCCATTATGTAACATAACACAATAATGTAACGCTATGTACTACAAAACCATTTCTCTCTCTTGTACTCCTGGAGCAGTATCCTAGGCCAGATATGTTTTTTATGCAGGAAACGATGGAAGAATAGAAGACTGGAAGAGGGAGGTCCCAGATTCATGACAAAAATAATAATAATGAACTTCTGGATGAAATCACCAAGGGTCTCAAAGAGCTAGCATAGCCAAGGGTCATTACTGTGAAGAGTAACCACAAGTTTGGAATTTTTCCATTTCTGAAGTTCAATTTTACAAAAAGACTGTTCAATGCAAATGTGTTATTTGCAAAGGATCTTCCAATCTTCATTTGGCCCTCAAAACAGACATTGAAAAATTGAAATGACCCAAATTAAAACCTCTATTTCTTATCACTGACAGAACTTACAAAAAGGCACACATAGCAATTAAGCATCTAACTTCCATTAAAGGTCAAAGCTAATGAGATAAAGGTACCATTAGTACCTTTGAAAATGTACCCCAAAATGAAAAAGTGCATAGGGGAAAACTGGGGAACACAGATGCTTTGTTTGTAGCAAGGTGCTGGATACTGAGTGCCTTCTTTTGAAGCCAGGTATTGGCAAAAGGCAAATAATATCTACTGAAAAGTGAGCATTACAAGACAGTCATAAACAGCATTTTCATACAGATAATCAATAGCTCCATTTCCTTTGTTTCTTTACCTGTAAATAGTGTTGTCCTGTTTGCTCGTTACAGCTTTTAAATCAGTGAGCTGGAGAAACTGATCATGGAAATAGTGAAGGTGTAAGATACACACCAGTAGGAAGGAGGTGGGGATAAAAATGCGTGTGAATAGATCACCCACAGAAAACTGTTTTAAGCCAAGGTCCTCTAGCCTGGAAAAAAAAAAAAAAAAAAAAAAGTAAGACACTAAGCCACCTTTTCACACCAAAATATTCTTCTTGTCATGAGACATTACTATAAATCATTTGCAGTAGGAAATAAGAGGCTGGTACTGGTTACGTAGTTTTGCTTTTTAAAAATCTTCTAAACTAGCAAGTTTTACAGTGGAACCAACCCTGTCACAGATCTCTTGAACCAGGTGAGTTTTCTCTGATTGAAAGTCCTGCACTCATATTGCATATACTTTCTCATGCAAGCTCCTCCTGAGAAATGTCCAGCATATCATAAGGATGAAGACACTCATCCCTCCTTGTTAGCAGGAAAGCAGGTCCATCTTCATAATTTAAAACATCCTGCAAATATACCCTTCATGTTTGCCTGGATCTTCCTCCTATGGTCAAAACTCTAAAAGGAGACATTGGCATTGCATTGGGAACAGAAACAATCCCAAGGTCTTGGCAGCTGATGGGAGAAAATATGACTCTTTGAGCTCCCCTCATGGACTTGCTCATCTCTACTGTCACATCAATAAATCACATCAACAAATCTAAGACTTCCATCGGAGTGCCTAAAGTCAGCTATGCCTGACAAAGGTCTCATGATGTTTTTCCCCCATAAGAAGGAAGACTACTCTCAGACTTTTCCTTTTCTGGATCTTTTTTTGGATCAAAGAAAAAAAATTACGCAAAACTACTTACTTTGCTTCATCCAGGCCTGTCATGTTCTTCCACAACCCAGGGAATGACTCAAACTGGTATGTGTAGATGAAGATAAGTACCAACATCGTGTAAACAACCACTGACATCCAAAAGTACTTTAAAATCTTTCTCCACCATTCATAATGCACCTGAAAACCACACACTGGAGATGATGATACAAGTTGAAGGCAAAGACACTGACAGAAATATTGACAATGTTGTACTGTCAAACAAATATGAAGAACACTATTTTTGTTAGATGGCCTGAAGTAAACGCTGCTTACCCAGTGGCAGCTACAGATCTTTGAGATAAAGTTTTTTCTCCTGATGCACATGCACTCAAGAAAATACTTCTGTGTAAAAATGTCTGTTGGGGCATGGGCCACAGACATAAAAGTCAGGAGTAGCTTAAGTCACTCAGTTTCATGGAAATTAGGTGATGAAAGCCCGGGGGGAGAGGGATTCCACCCTCACTGGGCTGTGGAAGCTGTGTGAACCAGCTGTCACAAAAAGTGGTGGCTATGTAGGACGTGCACAGCTCCAGAATTTTCCACAAAGGTTCCAAAGCTCACGGTAAAGCGGCATGCCAGAGCAGAGGTGTGCGCTGTATCTATTTTATGTGCACTTTGCCTGTCATTATGGTCAAAAACCAAAGGAGAATTAGTCTTAGCCCTTTCAAATGATCTTATTCTGTTGTATCTAACTAAAGAACAAACACACTGTGTATGAAACCTATTTGGAGCTACTTTATTACCAACTTAAAGGTACGAACAATCATATTCAAGGATAACATTTAGTTAACGCAGTTCTCACTTACCTGATAGAGGGCCACACAGAAGAGGAACAGTACCATATAGATGATTTTGTACATGACAATTGTACCCTCAAAGCTGACAAAGAAGAACATGCCCCCACAGACGTAAATCCAGTATTTGATTAACATAGCCATCACCAGTTTTCCCAAGACTTTCATAATATCCTGTTCATCATCCTCCTCTTCTTCATCCTCCTCCTCCTCCTCTTCCTTCTCCTCCTCCTGTTCTTCTGACACTTCTCCCTCTTGCAACTCCTCTTCTGCAAATACAGAGTCATATTTGGCCTCTGTCTGTTCTGGGACTTTTAGGAAGAATTTAAATGGGTGGAAAGTAAAATCTCTGCACACAACACATAAATATAATTATTCACAAGAGACTGTAATTCTGAATCAAACCCGCCTCCAGAGCAAGGAAAAGGGTTTTAACTTCATATGAGCTTCAACCAGCTCCTGGAGCCATATGGCACATAGTTGTACGTCCTTACCAAACACCTGTCTTCACTTTGTCTGAAAACGCCAGCAGCTGTAGCAGAAAATTAAAACCTAAGGGTTCTATAATGGATAATAGGCAAAACACTTCCCATGGCAATGGTTACACTCTCAAGTAAGCAACCTTTTAAACTGGAAAACAAAGAAACCACCAGCACCACCAGAAACCACTTATCTTGAGTTTAAACTCTCATCTTGAGTTTGAACCTCTCATCTTCAGTTTTATCCTTTAGAGAATATGGTGTTTACCTCCAAAAGCCACAAGCAAGAGAAAACATTAACATAAACCCAAGCAAGCTTAAAAACATATAAATGCTGCAGTAACACTGCTGTTTTTCAAAGAAATTAGCACTTATCCAGCTGCTTCTTCTGTACTTGAGCCACTGCAGAAAAGAAAAGATGTTTTTGCCCTATGAAGAGGTCAAGATTCCCCAGTTATTGTGAGGTTTGAGAAGGGCAGGGTAATTGTCTCCCAGCAGCAAGTACACATGCAAGTATCTAGTAAACAAGGCTTGCCAAAACCATAGCATGTAGCTGTAATGCTTTTCTTCCCACTGAGAACAACATTGAAACTTCACCATCAGAAGGCTTGTGCACCCCTTTTGTCCCACTCACCATCCCTCTTCTCAGGATCTTGCCTTGCAAATCCTCACATTGTCCAGCTTTGATCAAATGTTTTACTGAGACAAGCATTGTAATTAAAGAGGAAACTACACCACTGCTTCCAAGGCTCATTTGCTACCATTTCAGTGCACTGAACTTGGCCAGATCAGCATCCAGAGATACAGAAGAGGGCAAGGAAGGGTTGGGGGAATATGCGCCCAGGAGCAAAAGATGAACAGGCCACTGAGCTGTTAAATAAGCTGAACCTATAGAAGTAAACTTTGCAGTCATGTATGCTTGCACCACTGCATTGGAAAAAATGTATGTTTACTTTTCCCATTGAAATTTGTAGTTTAACTTCTATATCTGTATAAGTGTTTATGTACCAACGCAACTTCCAAGGAATTTGGCAACTGACTTTTTCTATGTAAACTCTTCTCCTGTGGTTAAACTCCTAGGGCAATTAATCTCCTGGTTCAAGTTTGGAACAGAGCAGTAAACTGATCATTTGAAAGTTCTATGATCTTTCTCAGATGAGTCATCTTAATTACCCACAAGTAAAGAGAATTCTCATTTTATTTGAATTTCTAAAACTCAGAAGTGTTTTATTTTTATATCTGAGAGATAGTTGCACATAGATTTTGTACTATCTTAGCTAATAACAGGTATCTTGCTAACCACTTTCAGTATCAGAGAAATGCAGTAACTGGAACTTCCCTCACAACTGAAGGACTAAATTAGAGCTGGCTTTACCTTTTTCTTCATTTTCTTCACTTCCAACTTTGACCTCAGATAAAGTAGCTTCTTTTAGCCGAAGTGCTTTCTGTTCAGTGAGGTGTTGCCTAAGCAGTAGCCAGAAAGTAATTGTGAAAAGAATCTGCAAACAAAAATCAAAACAAAACCAACAGACTAATTGTACATCCTATGTCCTATTAACACCAGCATAGGTTTTCATAAATTTTGCATGCCTTTGTTTTCTCTCTCTATCAGAAAATGGCAATGATGGCACTGGGGTCAAAGTGCATCTTTGTGCAAGTTAAGCAATTCAGGAAACATCCTGCATTACAAACAACTTTGCTTCTTTTGCATTTTTCCATTTATTAGAGATATTTACCTATATGTTTCTATTCTACCTCATTCTATAGTTTTTAATGACTGTCTTTTAAATTTAAGAATCTTCTTATTTTGCATTGATTCATAAAATTCCCATTTGTTGTTTCTTGTTAATTTTTGCCTTTTTTCAGGGAAGAAGCACATGCAAGAGTGTATTGTCATTACTATGATTTTGTATATCTTAAATATTTTGATTTAGGAGGTTTGGTACTTCATGTGCTTAACCACAATTAATTTAAAAAATCAAACTTTTTTATGTCTTTCAGTTACAGAAGACCCAGTCAACTGAGTATGCCTTGTGTTTGCAGCAATTACAAGATTTAAAATAGCTTTTAATTCTTTAAGAGCTTCAAGAGATGATAAGTCAGTAACAGCAGGATACCTTAAAAATAATAAAAAAAAATCTTTAAAGAAGAGTGCATTTATGTGTTCTGCAAAAAGCTAAACTCAACAGCTTGCAATGCCAAGAGATGGAAATATTCCAGGAACAGCATGATGTCTATCTATCACACACTTGATTTTATGCTTGCTTTCTACAAAGTTTCCATTAATTTCCCTGGTGCAGAAGGAGACTTATTTCACTACTTAGCTAGAAGAATAAAAATTTTAAATAGGAAGAATGTAAGGGCCAAGTGCTTTGCGCACAATAGAATAACAAGGTTAATGTAAAGGATTCTCCTGTTTTTCTTCTAAGGTGCACATCCTCAGTGGGGGAAAGGACAGCTCCCAGGACAACAACAGCTGTTTTTATTGACACTGCAGCTAATGCTGAGCCACAGTAGCACATTATCAGCCTGTGTGACTTGTCACAGCTTCTCCAGACACAAACTTTTGGTATTGTACAAGATAGATTTGTTCTTTAGTGAAGAACAAGCTCTGTCTTCCAGCCACATTTTCTCCCTGTTCTACTTGGCATTTTCAGAGCTGGGTCTAAGAAAAGTCCTGAAGGGTTGCAAACCAAAGAAATGCTTTTAGTCACGTTTAACAAATACATTTTTTCTTATTTTCAGTCCAGGAGAAAAGCATACAGTATGCAGAAAGAATTATAGTACACTTCTTTCTATTCTTCAATCTACAGAATAGAATACTCAAGCTTCATTCAAATTCAACCCTTATTCAAAGGACTTTAAACTAGGAATAACATGGGGGTACAGTTACTAGATCCCTTGAGAGGGACTGACTGGGTGAGGCTAGCAAAGAGTGCCTAGGGTGATAGGAACAAAAGGAAATACATAATCAACTTATGCAGAGTCACCCCAAGTATTTGCATATAAGCAAGGCTATTACTTTGAGACACTGTAATGGGCAAACCTTCCAGCTCCTTTGTTGGAAAACTGCATGCCAGGTGCCTCTCTGAAGTGCCTGTACAGTAATGCATGCAGCATGGGGAACAAACACAAGGAATTAAGAGACCTCCGTGCAGGGCTATGATCTTGTTGGGATGACAGAAACAGGGTGTGATGGCTTGAATAGTTGTAATAGAAAGTTACAGGCTCTTTAGGAAGCACAGGCCCGAAAGATGCAGAGTTGGAGTTGGGATTTGCATGACAACACAGCTGGAATGCATAAACTTCGTCTGGGGATGGATGATGAACTAGGTAACCCAGGAGAAATGCAGAGAGGCTGGCCCAGCATGCAGAGACATGACTAGAAAAGCCAAGGTCTGAAACTGAGTCTGGCAAGGCTTGTCAAGAGCTACAAGAGGAGTTTCTGTAAATACTTAAGCAGAAAAAGGAAGGCTAGGGAAAATCTAGGTCCATTGATGAGTGGGGCAAGGGTTCTGGTGACACAGGTCATGGAAAAAGCAGAGGTACCAAATGCTTTCCTTGCCTCAAGTCTTTGCTAACAAGACTGGCCTTAAGGAATCCCAGGTCCTGGAGACCATGGAGAAGGCTGAAGCAGGGAAGATGAATGCTTGGTGAAAGAAGATCAGATCAGGGAATATTTAAATAAAGTGGGCATATATAAGTCCATGGGTCCTGATGGGATGTATCCATGAGTGCTGAGGATCTGACTGGTGTCACTGTAGAGGCTAGTCTCAATAATCTTTGAGCAAATGTGGGGACTGGTAGAAGTGCTGAAGGAAAGCAACTGTCACTCTCATCTTGAGGAAGGGGGGGATGGAGGATACATCCTGGACAACCTCACTTCAATCCTCACCTTGAGCCTGTACAACCTCACCTCAATCCCTGGGAAGGCGAAAGCAGTGAGATGCTGGTAAAGGTTTCCTAGGGAAGCTATGGGCGCTCCATCACTGGAAGGTCAGGTGGGATGGGGTTTTGAGCAACCTGGTTGAGTGAAAAATGTCCCTGCCTATGGCAGGGTGTTGGACTAAATGATCTTTAACGATCCCTCCTGGCCCAAACCATTCTGTGTTTCTAAGGTGATAGAGCAGCTATCCTGGAAAACACTTGCAGGCACATGCAGGACTAAAAAATCATCAGGAATAGTCAGAGTTGATCCACCATGGGGAAGACATGTTTGACTAACCTCATAAACTTCTATCATAAAATGACTTGGTAAATGAGAGGAGAACAGTGGATACTGTCTACTTAGACTTCAGACAAGCTTTTGAAACTGTCTCCCATAAGATCCTCAGAGAGAAGCTGATGAAGTGTGGGCTGGATGAGTAGATAGTGAGGTGGATTGAAAACTGACTGAACAGTGGGTGGTGATTAGTGGCATAAAGTCGAATTGGAGGTCAGTGATTAGCAATGTACCCCAGGGGTCAAGCCAGTCTTGTTCAATGACTTCACTTATGAATCAGATGATGGGAAAGAGTACACAAATCTAGGAGGAGTGGCTGATACACCAGAAGGTTGTGCTGCCATCCAGAGGGACCTCAACAGGCTGGAGAAAGGGGCCAACAGCAACATCATGGCAGTCAACAAGGGAAGTGCAAAGTCTTGCACCTGGGGAGGAATAACTAGCACATGGATCTTTACATGTTTATGTTCAACCTGCTGTAGAGTAGTTTTGCAGAAAAAGGCTGAGGATCCTGGTGGATAACAAGTTGAACATGAGCCAGAAATGTGCCCTTACGGCAAAGAAGGGTTATGGTATCCCGGGATCCTTGAGGACTGTTGCCAGCAGGTCAAGGAAGGTGATCCTTCTTCTCTACTGCACTACAGCACTGGTGAGGCCACAATTCGAGTTCTGTGTCCTGTTCTGGCTCCCCAGTACAACAGAGGCAAGGATGTACTAGAGAGAGTCCAGTTGAATTTGCCATGAAGATGAAGGGACAGGAGCATCTCTCCTATGAGGAAAGGCTGAAGGAGGTGGTACTGCTCACCTTGAAGAATACAAAACTCAAGGGGAATCTCATCCAATTTCTATAAATATCTGAATGGAAGTGAAAAGAGGTTGGAGCCAGACTCTTTTCAGTGGTGCCCAGTGACGGGACCAGAGGTAATGGGCACAAACTAAAACATGTTCCCTCTGAACAGAAGCAAACACTTTTTTTCCTGTGAGGAAGACTGAGCACTGTCACAGGTTGCCCAGGGGTGTTGTGGAGTCTCTTTTCTTGGGGATATTCAAAAGCCATTTGGGAATGGTCCTGGGCAGTCAGGTCTAGATGGCACTGCTTAAATAGGGGAGTTGGACCAGATGACCTCCAGAAGTCTCTTTTGGCCTCAAGTATTCTGTGATTCTGTGAAAGTTATGGAGTGCATTACATTCAGCCTAAAAGAAAACCCCACTAGATATCTATTAGCTTTAAGGAAGTGGCCAAATCATCAGACATACACAACAGTTTCCTTCTTGACACCATATGTTTTTAGACAAGATATTTGATGATGTAGCTAATCAGAAACAATATCAAAGGGGCTGACATATTAAGACAGTTAAAACCTCATAGAGATTCACAAAGTCATTGATAAAAACTGTAGAACTTCTCTTTAGCCCTCCTACTAAACTATCCCTATCTTTACAAGAGAAATAATATAGCTCTCACTAACTTTCAAATGCATTAAAGAGCCCAGAATGGTTATTGAAATGGTACTGCCGACAAGGAAGATCACTTACAAAATCACCTTAAATTATAATTAGGAGTCACAAGGGAATTGGTTCACTTAGTGCAAGGGGAGCAGTGCCAACTACATGCACTCTCTTAGATGCCCCTCTGGAGTGCTCTAGGAAACAACCTCCTATTTGTGCTCAGTTCCTTCCCCAAAAGTGAACTTGCCAAACAAAATGCATTTTGTAGTGCTTTAAAGACATCAAAGAAAAAAATCTACCATGCACTGAGGTCAGCAAACTCTGACCTGAACTGGACTTCAATTCATGCTGATTCAGGTGTAAAGATAAAGAATTAAAGCTCAGTCACAGTTACGTACTGCTGCTTGTGAGAAACCATAAAGGATTGTGCAGTATTGGTAATCGCAATGACACCACAGTTCCAGTTGCCATCATAGTCAGACACAGGTCTGACATCCCATGGGTATTAATATAGAAAATCAAACCATATCTAGTTTTGAATTCAGTTTATAAAACCAAACAAGTGAAGGATTTCCATCCACTACGTAATCTGTACAGAATTATCATGAATATCTAAAAGATGTCTGAAACATTTTCTGTAGTATTAGCTTAAGAAGCAAGAAGCAGTTTTCTGAACACTAATTTTTAATGACTTACCCTTGATTTTAGAACTGCTATTGGAAGTGGTTACATTGAAAACTGGATTCACTCTTATAGAATGCCAAGAGATCCACATTTTTTATCACAATGTATTTTGTGATTTTGTAAATAAATCTCAGCTGTTTGTAACACCTACCTTTGATGCCAGCTCTCCAGGTTCCTTTCTTTTTAAAAAACCGGATACTTGAGGAAGCTCATCATTCTTGAGCTCAATACTCCATATATACTGTAATATTAGCAATAAATTTCCATAAAAAACCATGAATGGTGAACTGATCATGGCATATTTCCTTCGGTCCCGAATCATCCACAGTGTGCAAGACCAGATTAGTAACACAAAAGTCAACCAGCTGTGATATGTGATACTCCATGCCTTGTGGAAAGAGGAAAGAGAGGAAAGAATGTTCACAGATGCACTCAAGAACAGCACAGATGCACACTGGCAATTACACTTCATTTACACTTCTCTACTCAGCATATTTTCATTGTCATCAGACTCCATATTAATGTTTAGGCACAAAAGATCTTCTTGTGAAACAGCAGCAAAGAATTCAAAGCAGGAATAGCAAAACATAACCAATAGGTACTACATTCAAGGCCTTTGACAGACTTACAAAACTGCAGTAACTCCATGCTGTTCTAGCTTTTGTGGAATCAGTTGAAAATGGAAAGCTATGGTGTGCACCCACCCAACCTGAAGAACATTTAGTGTACAGAAACCATGGTAGATTACCTGAAACATGTACAACTAAAGAATATTTTCTATAGCTTCCAGAATTCAGTGAAAACTAGAGGAAAGGATTTGGGTTTCAAGTGTTTTTTACATTGTGTTATTGATTTATGACTAAATTCAGATGTATACATGCTGGTATACCTGTGGAATAACTGTCATTATATTCCTCTTCTATTTAAATAGAAAATTATTAAACATTAAGAATATTTCTATCAGGTTAGCTCAGCTCCCTCGGAAATTATGTTTTTTAAGGGTATGTGAAAAACACCAGCATGTTACCTCTCTATCCTTATATAAGAAAATAGCTTACAATGAGCTGTCTTCAGCTGTAGTATAAATGGATTTGTATCAGAGCACACCATAAACAAATTCATAATTTAGATCATATAGGCATATATAATGAAGAAAATAGCTAACACTGTCTCAATATTAAACTAAAAGAAAGCTTTTGAAATATATCTTCTCCTTTCATATTCAGAGATATGACCCTAGAAATTAATTAAAAATAAAATGTAGACTTGGTCTAGTAGAAGGTTTCCCTGGCCAAGGCAGTGGGTTCAGAAATAGGTGATTTTTAAGATCCTTTTCAACACAAACCATTCTATGATCTAAGTACATGAGTTTAAAATACTAGGAAAGGAGTCATTCTGCCACTAGGAGAACAACTACTTGCTAAATGCATCAGTCCAGATCCATACTTTACATAAGGAGCCTGCCTTATTTACAGAAGAAACCTTTTCTGCTAAAAGACAGCAAATTAAGTTTGAAACTTTATGCAAAGAAGAGGTAACCAAGCTGATTTGTTTTACCATTTTTAATTCAAAATTGGGCCAAGAAGCTTTATGGTTAATTTCATCATAGTTGAAACCTTTCCAAAACAGTAAAAGTAAAGCTTGCATTGGGAATATAGAGAGATATAGAGACCTAATCATTATGCAGAAAACTTGATATAATGAAGCTTAAAGTATTTGCATCAAGGAGGCTTAAAAGCAAGCAGCAACACAAAAAAGAAAGGAGGGCCATAAGTAAAACAAGGGGAAAATCTAGCTTGGCATGAAGTTGTATTTTTCTTGAGAACTTTCTGTGTCAATACGAGAAAAAAGGTCTTACATATCTTTTCTTCTCAGAGAGTAATTGGATGCACACATCAACCTGAAATAGCAACTATATTTTAAAAATTTTCTATATTGGCATGAAATGCTTTAATTTTGTAGGAAAACTTTCTGAGTGGTGCAAACACATGACAAACCTGCTTGTGCAGAAGCTTGGGAATCAACAGAAAACTGAGCATCTGTGGTTTTCTGACATTCAGACAGACAACAAAGCCTGGGCCTCCCAGTCCTGGATATGTGATATTTTAACCAGAATGCCACGTGTTGCCCTATTTATAGGTCTATAACCAGCCTGGGATTTATGCATTAATAACCTAAAATGGGCCCAAAATGATGCAGACACCACAGTGATATTTTTTGACCCAGTTGCAATGATTTACAGAAAACTAACGATGAGATTATTTTCAGAAAGGCACTGAGAAGACAGGTTTGTAAAAAGAACAGCATTATTCTTTTTGTTGGCAGTACTTACCATCATAGCTATCAGAGCACAAATGTAACTTTGTTTCATGATAAATTGGAACACAGAGACCAGGGCATGTAATTTAACATTTTCTTTTTCCTCCTGTGTAACTTCCTCTTCTTCTTCCTCCTCCACCTCTTCTTCCTTTTCTAAGTAGAAAAAGAAATTGTTACTTGCAATCCATGCTGGTCTAAATTTAGTATATGCATCCTCTCCTGGAATTATTTTGCTTGCAATCACTCTGGTGGCTACTTCAAATCACTTGATATTAGTAGGCAAATTATTTTGCATAGGATATGCCTAAAGTCCAGTTTACAGAACTGCCAAATGGGCAGCCATCATTGTAAGTGACAGCAATTATTAAACTTTAGGAGACCAAAGAGCTTACCAAAATAGAAATAAATGCTAGAGGCAGTGCATGGAGATACAGAATAAGAAAACAATATGGAACCAAGGACGATTCCTAGGCAATTCACTACCTGACACATCATCTGAAGGCTCCCATTTGTACTGTGGTGTTGAGTACATGTCTGCTTTGGCCGGACCATTTTCTAATGGCAGCGCAGGGTGGATGGTGTGATAGTCAGTAGGGTTCCCGTTCACTGTTACCAGCAGCACCTGCCAGAACATCGAAGAGAGGCACTGCATTTAGGGTGGCTCTTAGAAGAATGGGACTCCTACTTCTGTGCTTTGCTACTGGTGGAATGCCAATGTTAAAAGAGGTTAACAAGTAACTGCAGTTACAACATGCCAAAGAAATTGGCATGTTATAGTCATATTGCATGCAAAACCCCATAACAGCTTCCAATATTAATTGTGGTTAGCTTTTTATGCCATACTAATAGAATTAACCAAAAACTCATTCTCCTTCTTAGGCAAACAAATACATTGAGATTTTAAGACCTAAGTTCACACTCAATTATTTCCAGTAGTCATGAAAATAATGGTTATAAATTACTTTCAAATTTGAATTATTCCTGGAGAGACCTATATTTGCTGCTGGTACTAAAACCACTTGTGGTAATTGCTGTTATTGACGCCACATTTACATCACTTGGTAATACTAATTCAAGAGTCTTTCATTGTTTTATTTTTTTGACTTCAATTTCAGTCCTTGTGCTTGTTTGAATGAGGGCTCCAGCAACCACAGTCATTAATATCTCTCATATTGGCAGAAATTCATGTGCAATGTGTTAGTAATGGTAATACACACTGAAGACTGACTTCTGCTCAGGCTGTGAGATAGGGGGATATTTTGCCTTTAAAAACTATGCAAAAGCATGTGTGGACTGTTTCAGAATAGTATCAGGCTTATGTTAGTTATGTACAGCACCTACACAAACCACAGAACTGGGAAGCATGTTTGGATTTGGTTATGGATGCTCCCAAGATTCATCTGCATCTCCATTCTTCTGTGTATGCTGAACAGAGAAGAAATTTCTGCTTTCAGAGTCTGCTAAAGTCTATAGCAGTCAAGATATATAGATCATGATGTCTGTTCAAAGACTTGGATTTTCTGTAATCTGTGAATAGAACTCATGTGTTGTCAGTCATGCTTTAAGGGCCTCAGCATTCCAACATGAATGAAATAAAGAAATACAGCAAAGAAACTAAATCAAGTTTAAAAATGGCTTGCATTAGAAAGCATATTTTCATATCTTATTTAAACCCAATGAAATAACAAAGATCGTCTGCCAGTTGCTACTACTACAAGTAGTTTAATTTCAAGTGATCAATCAGTGGTTTTTCAGTGAAATTATTGAGAGAGCAAAGCACAATTATATTTAGGACAATCAAGGATATAGGGTAACTGGCAGGCCAACAAAGTTATAGAAGTTTTACAAATGTCATCTAAGGTTTTATCTGTATCAGTGTAATCTGTATTTACACACATTAGGAAGAATTGCAAAATTACAAAGACTAGTAGTATACTAACATCCGATGGCTTGTATTCATCTTGGGTCATTGACAGAAGCTGCAAAAAGCAATGCAAGGACAAATTATTAAAGAAGCACAGCTCAAGCATTAATAAGTCTAACTTTTTGAATACATGCATGCATATATGCTGACTTCTGCAGATTTGCACCAAGAAATTCAGAAAGAATTCTTAAAAAGCCAGCAGAATTGTACACTACCATAAAATGATATTGATTGTGCCACAGCATTAACACAATTTTACTGTGTGTTCCTGTGAATTTTAAACCAAAACTGAGAATGCTGCATTGAATTTTTGGATACTAGGTCAAAGAATTAATCAGTATGATATTATACTGATTAACTGCTTTCTAATGTCTTTCTAATGATCCAATGCTTAAAAACCAAGTTTTTAAACAATCATTAGAATTACTACAATTATAAAAATAGTTCCAAAAAATGTTGATACAAATATAAAATGTGATACTTCACCCATTTGCCCGCTCATTTACCATTACTCTTATTATGGTGGAGTTCTTGGGGCTTGAGTATGTGTGGCCCAACAGAATGTTCATATATCCCAAATTTGACAGTAGCTCAACAAATGAAATTTTGCGCTGCAGCTGGTGCAGACAGATGGTACAAAGCTGGACCTCTCCAGGAGATTTTACTCAACTGCCTTAACTGCTTTGCTTTATATCTCCAACAAGGACACCAGTATGCAGCTGGCAGTTCCCACTTACCAATGACAGTGCTAATTAGTAGTTACAAAGCAGATCAGATCTTTACATCAGGTTTATCTCCCTGACAGACTTTCTAGCTGTTTTGCACAAAGATAATGGCTCCACGCCCTACACTTCTTAAATGAGGAAGCCAAAAACATTGAGCATGGTCTTCCTTTACTTCCTTACACTGGCTCCCGGTTTTGTTTTATTCACTTTTACAAAGTATATTCCTAGTCTGCTGCCACACAGCCTTAATATTGTATCATCTGATTTATATAATCACACGGGAAGATCTTGCTACTTATATAGTGCTACTACCCTTAATTTCAAAGTAACTGTGTAATGCAGAGACCCTTCCCCCTCCAGCCTTACTTTTCTCTCATCAGTTGTATAGTGGCTTGCATACCACAGACTGCGCCTTCTCTCTGCTGTCATTGGAATTGGGCTGCAGGGTATTTCTTTGTCATCTTCCCTGCTAACAGATTTCTCTTCATCAGGCATCTGCTAAATGACAACAAATGACAACACCAGCTATAGCTCTGTAAATGCAATCTTATCAGAGGAATTTAAATTTCCCCCCAGTTGATGCTCCCTCTCTAAAGTATGTCTTTGAAACATCTTTTAGTGACTAATACACTCCGTTTATGATGACATTTTCAGAAATGGTGACAGAGATTTTCTATAACTGCTAGTTACACGATACCAGAATAACACAGACCTCCACATACTACTTTAACTTACTATGTAGTCATACCACAAGCATACATAAATACATAAAATAGAAAACCCATAAAATACAGGTGTTTCATTTTCAAGGCAGTGTATTGAAAGAAAAGTCACTCTTTTCATCTGCCTATATAAGTGCAAAGCCAATTCTATTTCACTAAACAGAGGAACTGAAAAGATTCAAACCCTTTGAGCATATGCATCTATCATCAAAGACTAACCTAACTCACCATACTTCAATATGTAACAAAGTAGTCAGTGCTGATCATCCACCCAGGCTCATCTAGTCTTGCTTTGGGGTCAGTAAATACCTGTGTGTGCTCACATATAGAACAAGGTAACTGGAAAAAACCAATACCGATTATTTTATTTACTAAGAGTAGCCTGATTATTTTTTATTCTGAAACAACTGGTTGAGTGGATGAAGGGAGAGCTGTGGACGTCAGCTACCTTGATTTCAGCGTCTTTGACTATTGTTCCACAACATTTTTGCTGAAAAGCTGGTAAGATATGGACTTGACAGTTGAACTGTGAGGTGAGTGGAGAACTAGCTAAACTGTCTTTCTCCCAGTAGAGTAATGGCTCAAAGACAAAAAGGTAGTTGGCCATGAGTGGAGTTCCTCAGGGACTAGCACTAGGTCTGGTACTATTTGGTATCTTCAAAATTATCTGTATGGAATTGCACCCAAATAAAATTTGTGAATGAAACTGAACTGTGAGGAGGTAGATGGGCCAGAAGGAAGAGTCACTATACACAGAGGGGACAACAAGAAATGTACAAGGTTTAACAAAGATAAAGTCCTGCACTTGGAATAAACCCATGGAAGAGTAAAGGCTGTGGACAGACTCTCTGGGAAAGAACTTCGTGGAACAGGCTCAGAGGGTGCTGGTGCATAGCAAGCTGAACATGAGCCAGCAGTGAGCTCCAGCAGCAATGAAGGCAGACATGTCCTGGACTGCATCAGCAAGAGTACTGCCAGCAGATCAAGGGATGTGATTATTCCACTGTACCTGGCAAGTGTCAGGCCACACCTGCAATTCAGTTCTGGCATTCCCCAGTTTGAGGGAGACACAGAAAATCTGGAGAGGATCCAAGAGAAAATTGTCAAGATGATTAGAGGGTTGGAGAAGTTGAAGGATGCAGGAATTAGGGTTTTTTTTTCAGACATACAGTACTGAAATTGTAGTTTTAGAGAAGACAGAGGCACTCTTCTCATGGGTAGACAAGGTTATAAGCCAAGACGCTGAGGACATAATTTGCTTCAGGTGAATGCTGTCTGGATAATAAAAAAGTAAAGTATTTCACCATGAGAATAGTGAATCACTGGCATTGGTAGCTTTTGCTGAAAACATCCAAGATTTGGCCCTGGACAATCTAATCTGAGGCCGTGCTCTCACAAGAAGTTGCATCACATGATCTCCAAAAGTCCCTTTCAAGCTGGACTGTTCTGTGATTCCGTGATTGTCTCTGATCCATGTGGTCTACTTCTTCATCTTTGACAGCAACTGTTATTACTAAGTTGAGGAGGACTGCAAATGTACTGGTCTTAAATCCATCTTAATTCCATGGCTCAGCAGGGGTATGAAGCCTCTCTAATAGACTTAGAGTGGATGTTATTAAAGCACAGTGACCAAGCAGGAGAACTGAGTATGTGTATATAAACCACACTAGGTTACAGCTCTTCTTCAAGCTCCTCTTTCTTCATTGTGCCTCCTGAATGGCAGCTACCTGGTGATAACTGTTCTCATTGCTTACACAAAATCTGATGCAATAGAAGAATAAATCAGGATGCTGAACAGAAGTCTGCAAAGCTTTTTCCATTCCAATCCTAACAGCAAGGTCCTACTTTTTAAATCTTGACTTACACAGACAATAGTTATTAATTTAGTTTCACTTGTCAGAGGAAATGGAAACACATTTCACATATGTTTGTATATTTATATTTGATTGTAGAAAGGCATTCCTAGCAAAGCTGTGCTTATAAAATCCTTGACACTGCCATTTGAAACTTTAACATAAATGTGAACCATATAGAACTGCTTATCAAAGGCATTTAGTTTGGCACTAAGGTGACCAAAACATACAAAAGACCTAAAATGTACACAACTATTTTACTAAAATATTTTTAGCCTAAGGGACTACAGGGAAGGGTGGGAAATCTTGTCTTCTCTTTCTCAGAAGAGAAAGAAAAATCAGAAAACACAGTAATAGTAATACAACTTGTGAGAGTCTTCTGACTTGTCTATTTTTTTCAATTCTTTGATTACCTGAGCAACTCTCAAATACCTTTTAATTCGAACAATTATAAAAACTGTATGAGAGGACTCTACACTCAGTTGCTATAACTGTTGACTCCTGTACGATTACTCACCACTCACAGGACAGAATGAATGGGTTCTATTCATATATTCAGTGCTGGCAGTTACAACTATGAGCTGAAATCTCCAGAGGCAGATCGCCTCTTCTTATTGGCAGAGGTAGAATTTCACAGGACTCTATGTTAGAACAAATCAGGATCCAAAATAGAAAGCATAAGAAAAGCAAAACTTCCCCTGACTGCCACAGTCATTTTGCATGACTCAGATCCATTTAGAATCCCACACAGAGACCATACACTGAAATCTCATATGTGCCATACTTTGGCTCTGTGGCACACACAGAGAAAGCTTCCCTGAAACTCAAGATTTGAAGTGGCCACTGTCCCTGTAAAATTGTTCATCAGCTGCAGTATTTAGAGACAGTCTCAAGAGGATCTGTTTCAAAGACATCTCCTGCTGTTCAGGAGGAGTTTTATCCAGAGGAGGACCCCAAGATGTAACTCACACAAGAAGAAAAAAACGTCTTACTCTGCTTTTAGAATCTGCTACGTCAGTATCACATTTAGCTTAGGTACATCTTTTTAGACTAAATAAATATTTCCTTATGCATATTCTGCCATACACATTTTGTTAAAGAGATTACTGTGAACAAAATTTCTAAGATGACTGGCTTCTTACTGTACAAGACAGCACTATACAGAGAACAACTGCTTTACACTAAACACCACACAGCGTATTGTCTTTGCCATCCATTCAGCTATAGGTAGGTTAGTTCCATAATGAATCAAATGCACCACAAAATAACAAGGTAAAAAATATTTCGATGAAACCTAGAATACATTATTTCTGAATTTAAATGATTGAGAACGGAGTCTACCAGGGGACAGTTTGTAAGAGAAAGATTAATTCTTGATCTATAGAACCACTGAATAAAAACAAAACACATACAGACCGAAAAAAAAAAAGTTCTGGAAGGAGGAAATGTGCAAAATATTGCATCACTACATCTTGTGTATCAAAAATAAACGTTCATGAATGGACATCCTTCTCTTTACAACGTTCTCTTTTTTTAAACATCTATTTATCTTTGGAGGGAAGCATAATTTCCCTGGCCTCTGAAGTTCCCATGGGAGTGCGAAGACTTTGTATTGCCTCTCACGTAGCCATGGGTTTGAGAGGTATCAGCATTCCTGAAATTAATGTCTTTTAAGACTTACTTGCTCTAGCTCAGTTTCTTGGAAAGCATTTCTGTTTTCACATGTTGGCAGTTCCCAGAGACTGACTTTAGTGTCTTATGAGAATATCTATCTCAGATATCACAAGTAGTCTAAAAAAAAAAAGAACTGTAGGCAAGACCACAATAGTTCCTCTCAAGTCCCTGGAGGAACTTGCAGCATTCACTCTATGAGGAGACAGAAAGGCCCATTTCCCTCAACTGAAAAAGCTCAGCAACTAATTTAGATCCAACACCAAACTTTAGGACAGTGAAAGCTGGACGAAAACAATGCAGGTACTGGAAATGAGTTACCAGAGTTTCTGAGATCACACAGCTCCCACTAACTGCCTGTCACATGTGGTTACTCCTCTGTGAATAGTTCTCATGATTTTACTATGCAGCTTGTGAGATGTGAAGTTTTAGTTATAGCCCCAGTGCTAAAATCATATTATTATCTGGAAATCTCAGTTTTCACTTCAGGAAAGAAAAAAAAAAACCACTAAGTCTACAGATTCTGCAGCTGCAGAAAAATCAGGGAAAAAAGCCTAAAAATACCCAGTGCCAGAGAGTACTGGACCACAGTCTTGTGACTCACAGTATTAAGATTTCTGGAAACTTAAGACACAATTTTTTAATAACTCAAGCTGACAGTTCTGGCATCATTTGCCTTTTGAAGCCCTATATATGTAAACCCCAAATATCAGACATCTCAATTCAGAGGAGACTTTGGTTGCCTTTCTAAATGTTAAAATGTTACATTATCCATTATATGAAGAAAAACCCTTAAAATAAGAAAACCTTCAACAGTTTTTACTTGCTACTATGAACTGCACTAATTCACAGCTGCCATGAGTGTCTTCATTGTGGTTTACAAGTACTGCTAAATCTAAAAATGTCACCAAACCTCAGAGGATTAGGAGATTAAAATAAATAACATCTAGAATAATTCTTTTTATGCTTTCAGTTTCTAAGCTTTTAAGATACCTTTGGGTTCTTATATTCCCATTTTTCTCTGAAACTGAAAGAATTAAAATGTCCTTTTTTTCTCCTTGTTCTCTTGCTCTTAAATGAAAGCTAGGATTTTCACCTAGGCAGACAGAATCAGGAGGAAAGATTTTAAGAAATTTTATTTTTATCTGTGACAAAATTGCAAATTTTTGTCTTGTCTTACAGTATCCTGGGCCAGAATGTATCCTACTTCAGTTCTGCTAGACAAGCCCTGGGTGTTTGCATTCCACTTGATAGCACCTAAACTAGAATCATGTGCTCAGAATCATTTAGGTTGGAAAAGACCTTCACGATCATTGAGTCGATCCAGTTCAACCACAACTTTGTATCAATACCTGCTTTCCAAATCAGTGTAAGCATTAAGGCTCTGCCATTGCATTCCTTACATACACACATGATGATTTAAAAAAGAATATTCATGTCTCCCTTGTTAGATTGGACTCTTGAAGACACTTTGCAGAAAGATCAAACTCAAAGAACCAACTTGCACTTGCTATTTCTCTTAATAATCCTAAAGGTTTCTACCTCTGTTAGCAAGTATCTGCACTGGCCAGTCTCACAGTCATTAGTCATTAGTGCTAGAAGAGAGAAGGAAGTTACCCTTACAATGGGCTCTTGTAGCCAGAGACGAATAAGAGTTGCGAGGGTGTAGTACATCACCAGCAGTAAGATTGGATTAGCATGGTGATACCAATGTAAGTCTTGATTTTTGATGATCATCCAAGTGCTTGAGCAGTTTGTCTGAGTAAGAGAAGTGACACCGAACAACCTGTGAATATAAAAAAACAAGCTAGCCAAGTTAGAGAACAAACACCAAATCTTATAATGTTGAAAAATACTTTTTCAGCAATTTTTGCTTCCTTGTAATATCAACTGTTCTGTTCAAACAGATGGGTTTTCCATCACATCTAAAATGCAGTGAATATTTTCATTCCACATATTTAGTCAAAAGAAATGTTTGTTTCTTTTTTTTTTTCACTTGGTTTTCAACATAAAAAATAGGAGTATATTAATACTACATCTACTAGGTCCAATGGGAAAACTTTCAAGGACCTGTGCCCTGTAGACCCAGAGCTACAGAAAATGGGGAGAGAAAATGTGGCTTCATGCCCATTTGGCAAATCACAGCAACATGACATTTCAGAGCGATTTACTGAACTGATGTACAGCACCATTCCATTCACCCTGCCAGATATAGCTGTAAAGTACATCTCAGCACACTGAACAGTCTACTGATTTTTTTATTTTAAAAAGCTAATATTATTAATGAATTTCTATCTAATTATGCCAATGCTAGTAAACATAAAGGATTCCACTGAATTCATAGCTGTTCTGAACAAAAATTGAAAACACTCGGAAAGATCATCAAACAACTGAGGAAAAAAAGGAGAAAAATAATTTGCAGTATTCATATCAGTGATGTGAGATATTTGACTATTTCTGGAAAAACTGAGATTACACGATATTTCTGTCAAGTAAGAAACATGTTGGAAAAAAACCACTTAAGAATAAAAGAAAAATCCACAACATTTTCAGATTAATACATGTCAAATGCCTTGTAAATGTGTTAGATACTGAAATAAAACTAATAGGAAACATTATTTAGTCTGGTTCTTTCATAGTAAAATAGTTTGCAGAATTCCAAAGCCACCAGTAGCATGTGTCAGTATTCACTATAAACAGTTTTGTCTATTGGCAAAAGCTTTTTCTTCCACAATGTGTCTGAGTTTTCAATTTTTACAAAAAATAAATCTGATTCTAAGAGATAATTAAGGAGGACTATTTCTTGGTATAACAATAAATCCCAAACTGTTGTTCCTCTGAAAAAGTAAATAAAATAGATTCATTTAAAAAGTGCCAACAAGCAAAGCACTGAAGCTTTTCTGCTGGGGAATTTAGAGTAAGTTCAAGAGGTTTAGTTCTTTCGTTACCTAGTAAAATACAATATGAAAAGTTGAATGAATACAAAGAATAAATGACATTCAACAGAGATGTGCTGCATGAAATCTGCCTTTTGGATGCTGTGAAGTGAAAAGAATATAAAAAGGGAGATGTTACACCTGTTTGTTAACTGGGAGTTTGCTGCATGGGCATAATACCATCAACTCCCAGAACAAGAGCTCTGTAGCATTTTATTAAACAATCTATCAGCACTGACTTCTCATTCTGATTGTCAACACAAGCCAAAGGCTACAAACTTTAAGACTCCTCAGAGCTTTTGGGTGGGACCAAGGTTGGGAAAAAAAATAAAATAAAATTAAAAATCCTACACAAAAAGTAAATAGTTGTAGCTTAAAGGAGCTGACATAGCTGTGTTTGGAGTTAACCCAAACTCAAACTTCCATAGCATCCAAGCACATTCAGAGCTGATGTTACAGTATGGCTCCATCTGGCTGAAATTCATGCTGGATTGTATTCTGTTCATATTTCTATCAGCACAGAGGAACATCTTGTTTGTCTGCTTTCCTCTCTGCCAACTGACTTGTCACTTTTGCCAGCAATGATCAGGGTTGTTGAGTTCCTATTAGTTGTTGAGTTCCCACTACTTTCATCTTCTACCTCTGTTTCACCACACAGCTCTCCATCTTTGGTTCATTTTAAGCTTTTCTATGTAAGAACAGTACAGTTCCTCTTATTTCTGTTTTATAAACATCAGAATGAAAGTGATATCTAATTCTTAATAAATTAAGAAGTCTTTCCAGTGACAGTTAGTGATGAGTATTTCCTACAGAAATGAGGGAAAGTTCTTGAAGGTTCTTGGACTCTTCTGCCAAGCAGACATGACCTTCATATCACATATTCCATTCCTACAGTATGTTAGCTATAATACACTATAGCTATAAAGTCAGAACAACTTGTGCTTTACTTTTATCTCTGCTGAAAATAATACACACACATAATCCTAATAGTTAGGAAATTTTATTATGTTTCAGTTAAATTCTCATTCTCTTAGTTTAATTTGTTGGCTTAAAATTATCCATACATAATACTACTGGACTTAATTCTGCTCCCTCCTGGTCCTGCATTCACCAAATATGCATAAGATAAAATGCATCTTTTTCTTCTTAGTTGCCACTTGACCAGGGGTATACTTGAATGTGTTTCACTTCATTGTATTCAGTGTGTTTCACTTTGTCTCATAAATGATGAATCTAGAGGAACTCCTCCTCACTTCTGATTTTTCTTTGGGTTTTGTGACTTGTTAGTCAAAAAGGTACTCAACGCAACATTCCCTGTTCATCATGTTCAAAATGCACTGTTCATCTTGGGAATGCTCATTCTGTCTGTTCTGGCCTCCAGTAAGGCTGCTCTCTCAATATTTGTGCTTCATCATTGTCTCCAATGAGAACTGTTGGTGCAGAACATTTTTCAGAGAAATAGAGTCATCTTCTCTTATTCAAAGCTTTTAAAGACACAGAAATGGCTGCCATAAAATGTATAAGCAACATAAATTATTCAGTTCTGCATGCTCCATTCCACAAAGATGTCTTTACATTCAGCAATGATCAAAATCAGCTGTATTTGTGTCCAACTCTGATCTTGATGTGACTTCATCTTAGCCAACATACATGTAAGGTCAGAATGAGTCCTAAGTGGGAGAAACCAAATACCAACCAAGACAAGTATATGTGTGCCTGGATAGAGCAGATAAGTAAAACAAATTTTGAGAGACTTATTTAGTAATGGAAATATTTTGCTTTCCAAAAGACTGCACATAACATCAAAAACAACTGGAGGTTTGCAAAACAAGAATAGATAAACATTTCTATTTTTTCAAAAAAGGAAAAATTGGATTTTTGAAAGTCCTCACTGGTATTCTGAAAAATGCATAGCAGAAATAATTTGGAAAACATTTTAGAAATTATGACAGGCCAAGAGGAACTTGATTGTCTGACTGAGAAATGCTCAGAAATAACACCGTGAAAATTGGTTCTTAAAATAAAGCACTTTTTGCTCATTTACTATCCTATGAGCTTGTTTTCCCAGCAAAGCTTCCTACTGAATCTGTGAATCATCCTTCTAGCAGATGCACTTTTATCTTTTGTGACCTTCTGACAAAGTTATAAGTGGTGACCATAAAAAAAAAATCCCACTTTTTATATTAGCCTAACATTAAAATTCAGAAGAGCAATTTCAGTTTCACTTGAAAACAGAAAAACAAATTACTTTTGAACCCATAGATATTTAATCTAAGGAGTTGCTGAAGTTGCTAAAATTTTACACTGCTAAAATTTTTATTTTATGCATTATTTAATTATTACATTAATATAGTATAAGAATTGGCATTAGTAATTAGTCATGGTATTAAATAGGAACAAAAATGGTTATGTAAACAAAAAATATATTTCATATAGTCATCAAACATGGTAATTACAGATCTTTTAGGTTTGTGAATTTTGCATGCAGTAAAAATGATCTGACTTTTTTTTTTTTTAATAAACATATTTGTCAGTTCAGATCCTCCATGTTCTGATGTTTTAGGAGTTGATTTCAGATGAGGATTTGCCCCATAATTTCCAAGGCCAGGAAAGGAAGTAATAATTCTGAGTTTCTGCACAATGTAGGACACACAATAATTCTTCTACTGAACAAAGAATTTGTGGTTGAATTACAGTTTATAGTTTAGAAAGGCATCCAATCTTGATTTCAAATGATAGCAAATCTTCTAGTGTTTGACTGTTTTTCTGCTGGATTTATCTTCAACAACAGTTTTGTCTAGATGAGATTTCCAGTTGCTGCATCTTCCTACAACTCTCTGTAGTATTTTATATACTACTTTTCACTACACAGCAGAGAGATCATTTTCCCATATCTTCTCCAAGCTTGCATGAAGATTGCCGTTTGAAGAAAATGTTTGCATCAAATTACTTCAGGAGATGCATTTCCTGATTTATTTCTTGATTAATCATTTTTTATGATTACAGGACCTTTTTTCTGGTGCCAGTACCCATTGCCTGATTATTCACAGCAATGGCATCAGAGCATTCTATTGTGCTGGGTCGGATTTGGAGAATCCATCTTTGCAGAACTTCTGGATTTGTGTTGGATTTTATGAACTGTCTGAATCTTTCATTTGGATATCTTCTCTTGCATATTTATTTCACCCTTCTCACATGGAAGAAGACAAGAGTGGTGCCTGAAAGTCTGAAGTAGAGAATGGAATATCAAGACTGACTGACATTTGAATAGCTGAGCCCTAAAATGGAGGTGCTAAAAGTGACCAAGCAAGAGAAGAAAAAGGAAGAAGAGGAAGAAAAGAATAGGAAAATAGGGGAAAGGAGAGAGCAGAAGAAGAAACAACAGACAGAAATTCAACAATAATAAATCCCCAGAAATGGAGGTGGTGGTTGTGGTAGAAATTCTATTTCTCTGGGGGAAAGACAGCCGAAATACAGGGAGAAAAGGCAGAATTTCATGTTTCACAGGCCAGGCCCTGAAGACTGAGATTCATGAGGAGGAGTTCTTAAAATACTAAAAGGGCTGTGTCCCAAACTCTAGGCACTGTTTGAAGAGTGAAACTTTTTTCAAACATTGACTTAAAAGAGGTACATACTCTTGCCACATTTGAAAAAGTTCTGTGGATCAGGGGGAGGAAGAATTAGAAGGAATTTAGAAAAATGAACAAACAAACAAACGAAAAATTCCATTCCTGCAAAGTTCTCCTAAAATTCAGGAGTACCCTGTTCATACACAAACCATCCTGTTGGATTTTCTGTACCTGAATGGCAGAGCTACAGAAAAGTTACGATCCATAAAATTATATCCATA